GGCCTGGGTGAGACAGCTCAAAAGCCCCAAGCAATGGTATTTGAGACAAATTAAGATTGGTTTAGATCAGGCTCTGGTGGCTCATGCCTGTAATCCTAGCTATTCAGGAGGCTGAAATCTGAGGGTCTCAGCTCAAAGCCAGCTAGGGCAAGATAGTCCACGAGACTTATATCTCCAGTTAACCACCAGAAAACCAGAAGTGGAATCGTGGCTCAAAGTGGTAGAGTGCTAGCCTTGAGCAAAAGAGCTCAGGGACAGTTAACAGGCTGTGAGTTCAAACCTGACAATAGACTAAAAAAAAAAACAAAAAAAAAACAAAGAAGGAAAAAAAGTTTAAGTGTGAAGGATCCTTCCCACAGGGGAGAACGTCCGTGATGGGCAGGTTTCAGTGGCAGGTGGCGGTTACATAGCAGCTTTGTAACTGTTTACATCCCTTTTTACAATGAATTTTGTTGTAATGATATTAATTATATGAAATGTATAAGCCCAAGGCCTCAATTAGGAGGTCTCTCCCCAAAGTGTAAAGGAGAGCCCAGGACAGTACCAGTCTCATCACAGGAAATTTCATTTTGCTGTGCAAACATCCTTGTTATCAAGATGTGGTCTCGTGTGTCTGGTCCACAAGACATTTTATCAGTACTTTTTTGATACTCATGAGGCAAAGGCAGATAGATGAGTCAGTTTTACAAGTGGCTATGGCAGCCACGCACCCTGTTTTCTGTCTGCCTTGGTTTGAAATAAGGAAACTGGGTCAAATGGGTGCCATCTTGGCCACGTGGTAGATGATAGGGAATAATTGGGTTTAACTGGTGCCATCTTGTCTTCATAGTAGAGGCAGGGAAGTTCCACCCCCAGGTGATGGATGGAGCCAGAAGCAGGGACTTGGATAATAGGCTATTGGACCTGTCAGTCCTGTGCTTCCAACCCTGCCTCCTGCCCCTGATGCTATCCAGGCCTGGACCAGTTCAGGCACCATGACGCCATGCCTCACATCTCTTGTCTCCTGGCTCACCTTGAATCACCATGGCGTCCCACTTCAGCTCTCCCTTGGAGTTGATCTGGTTTGTTGGTATTGCTTTTCTGCTCTTTCTTTCCTCTCCTGCTCTCATGGCTGTTTTCTGACCATGTGAAGTGTATTCGAGGGACTGCAGGTCTTTTTTTTTTTTTTTCTGTCAGTCATGGGGCTTTAACTCTGGGCTTGGGCGCTGTCTCTGCACTCTTCAGCTCAAGGCAAGCGCTCTGGCTCTTGAGTCACAGCGCCACTTCTGGTATTCTAGTGGTTTATTGGAGAGCAGAGGCTCATGGACTTTCCTGCCCGGGCTGGCTTTGAACCATGATCCTCAGATCTCAGCCTTCTAGGTAGTTAGGGTTACAGGTGTGAGCCACCCGCGTCCGGCCGGCTGCAGATCTTTGAGACAAGCGTCCATCTGTGGTCACCAACTTTCCAATAAAGACTCCCAATTCACTCTTTCAAAATGTGGCTTCTCTCAAGTTCAAGTTCTCTGTTCTCTGTTCAAGTTCCCTGCAACAGTTAATAATACCTCCCTTAAATGGTTGTTTCTAGGAGATCACCTATATACTTAGAACCACTCTTAACAGGTTTAAGTGGCCAGGGTTGTTTGGATACAGAAAAGAGTGAGATAAATAAGATACAGTTCCTACCCTCAAATTGCTCAAAAGAGCCCAGTTGGAAAGTTGAGGAGTGACAGATGGTGAAGTAATTATAACTACAGAGAAAAGTTCATGGTTCCATATAAAACAAAGCAGGAAATGGTCTTATCTGCTGCTAGGAGAGACAGGCAGATGGAAGGAAAGCTTCTGGGAAATCACTTTTTTAACGGTGTCTTGAGGAAGGAGTAGGAACTCCCATGTGGTAGAGCCACCACATTCCTGCATATGCAAGGTTTTGCTACCACATGGCTTTGGGAACTGGAAGTTGTGTGCTGCTCTTAAGAATGGAAGACACCGCTGACTTCAGATGAGGTAGCTGCCATTGGGACAGGTGGTTTAACATGAAGTGCTCAGAGTTAGAATGGGCTTGGGCTTTAAGTTGCATCAACACCTGAGTACAGGCGGCAAGGCTATGAATGACAGAAGGCATATATAGTCCAGGGAAGGACTAGCATAAATAAGCACAGCACAGGTCCTTTAGCTACTTGCTGTTAGGACCAGGGCTGGAAACCTGAGCAGAGTAAGGTGAATGGAAAAGGTTTTCAGTGGGAGTCACCAAACAGAGCAACTAGGGACAATCCTTACACACTGACCACGGCACCATCTTAACTCTATGCCTCAGGACAGGGGCCCAAATACTGACATCCAAGCTGTGAAACAACATGGGAGAACAAGGGAAAAACATGATGGAAGGGTGATCTTTAAACTGTGTGACAATATCTTTAGACGCATTTATTTGCATGTATGAGTTATGGTGTGCCTAATGAAAGATCCACTATCTTTAATTTACCAGTCCTTACAAGACAAAAAAAAAAAAACTATACCCATATAATTCAAAATAAGCCTCATGTGAAATAAATAGTTGAGCTCAAGCCAAAGAACTTAGGAAAATCCCAAATGCAATCTTGAAGTTTAACAACAAGCAAAATTTTTGTTTGCTTCCATCATTGGATTTTACAGAATCTCTCTTTGCTGGGGAGCAGGTTGAATAAGCCTAATGATAAAGTAATCTATCAAGGATGTGGATATTTATACTTCATGAGTGCCCTTTGGCACTTAATAAGCTGCTTTTGCAATTGTCTAAAATATCTAATTATTTGTCATATGAACATGGCAACATGTTATTAGCTGAGGTGTGCTTGGTGTTATACTTCCCTCTTGTGGTATAGATGGACAATTGCAGACTTATATTTATTTTTCCTCTGGGGTATGGTGTGTGTGTGTGTGTGTGTGTGTGTGTGTGTGTGTGTGTGTGTGTGTGTGTGTGTGTGTGTGCGTGTGCGTGCGTGTGCGTGTGTCCCTGAGCTATTGTGCTCACAGCTAGCATTCTACCACTTGAACCACAGCCCCATTTCCAGCTTTTCTAGTGCTTACTTGGAGATGACAGTCTCATGGAGTTTCCTGCCTGTGCTGGCTTTGAACCATGATCCTCACATCTCAACCTCCTGAGTAGCTAGGATTACAAACATGAGCCACCTGCACGTGGCAACCCTCTTTCAGTTTCTTACCAACATGATTTTTGCATGCTTTAAATAACTTCATAAACTGCTTTAAAGACTTTCTGGAATAATGCAAAGTGTGAATAAATGATAAATTTGACCCTATCGGGTTTAAATGGAGGTTAGAAAGTCCATATGCCTAATGTTCAGAGTCCAGCTCTGCCACTTAACAAAGCAATGAGAATCTGAGCTAGAGAAGCACTCTCTCTGCCTAGATCTTCATCTGCCAAGTGAACCAAAGCCTACACCATGTTGGGTTCTGTGTGGATTGAAGGGAAGCAACATATGGGAAGCACTAGGAACAGCAGGTGTCGCCCAACATACTACTGTTGTAGCCTTCAAGGTAAACTAGCCCACAGGCAAGGACAGTACAACAGAATTCAGTCCTTTCCCCACCCGAGGTCAGCTCATGACCAAATCACTGTGGTACAATTAGTTGGCAACCCAGTTGAACTGATTAGGCAAACCATAGAACATGACATTGGATATCTTTCCTCAGTACATTCCATTTGGCCTCATTTTACAGTGGAGGAGTTGGAGGTCCAGAGAAGTGACAACTTGATTCTCCTGTTACTGTTCTAGGATATTAAAACTGCTTACTGCTTTGAGACCTTGTACAATCTTTAGAGACAAATACTTCTCTACATCATTCTAGTCCCAATTTCATGAATGCAATCATTTTCAAGAAAAAAAAATTAAATTAGCCTAGTAAAAAAATGGCAGAAAGCCAGGCGCCAGTGGCTCACACCTGTAATCCTAGCTACTCAGGAGGCTGAGAACTAAGGATCACAATTCAAAGCCAGCCCAGGCAGGAAAAGTCTGTGAGACTCTTATCTCCAATAAACCACTCAGAAAACCAGAAGTAGTGCTGTGGCTCAAGTGGTAGAGCGCTAGCATTGAGCTGAAGAGCTGAGGGACAGCACCCAGGCCCAGAGTCCAAGCCCTGCACACACACACACACACACACACACACACACACACACACACACACACACACACACACACACACACACACACACACACACACACACACGGCAGGGTCATGAAAACAAAATTTGGATAATATTTACCCACGCTAACTGCACTGGAAGGCAGACTTTGCATTTGAGGCAACTTCTTAGGTCCAATTCAGTGGACTCTGCAGTGTTTGGATCCGTGTCCTGTGGAATCAACTGTGATGAGCCATTACAATCCAGCTCAGGCCTGGAAACCATGAACCAACGCAGCTTTCATCAAGGTCATTGCCCTACCCCAAAGTCTAGTCAAGGTGAACTTGTAAAGACCCAACAGCACCATCCAAGTGATAGAAAACAACGCCAAAGCCACCAGAGGTCACTGGGGGATCTACTGAAGGCTTGTTAAACCCAACTGCTGGGTCACCCAAACCTTCCTTTCCCATTCCTTCTTCACATGCTTATCCTGAGAACACACCCAGACACCTGCGTGCTCCTCCCAACCTATTCTGCTCCCAGACAACCCAACCTACAGCAGACACATCTGATAGAGAAATCTCACACTTCACTCCCCTGACCTGTCTGGGTTTAGGAGGAAGAGGGCTTCAATTTAAAAATAAATTCAATCTCCAATATGAGTATGTACTTAATACTATTTAAAATGCTTTCTCAGGGGGTGCCGGTGGCTTCTGTGTATGTAGATTTCCAGAACAGGTTGGAATGTGGGTGAACAAGAACAAAATAACTATTGTTAACCACATACTTCATTTGCGCTACTCAAAGAACTACCTACAGAATGTCCTAACAGAGAAAGGTCAGATTTTTATGAAACAGAAGGCAAGCATTTGAATTGCTACAAAGCACAAACAAGCTCAAATGACACATTTATTGTACAGTTTAGTTACAAAGGAACAGAGTATAAACATAGTAAGGATCACAGGAAACAAAGGTCAGGAATATATATTTACATAGCAAATATGGGCAAAACTTAAAATTCTACTTCCATTTTGTAGCACTTAATGGTCAGAATGTACTTCTAAGAATTATGTCAGGAAGAAGTTCAAACCTATATGATTAAAATGAATGCTATCTTAATGAAAAATATTACAATTGCATTTTCTTTGACAATCTCCAGGTTACTGGAAGCCAAGTAAACCAGATTGCTGACAATTTTTAAAAGATTCAAAGGCACTTAAATTAGGAAAACACAGTTGGTTTAAAATACTGAGGTATATATTCTACTACCAATAATATTAGTACACAGAAAAAAAAATTCATAGATCTAACTCTCTTCAGTAGCCAGTTAACTCTGGATCTTCCTTCCGAACTCCAGAAGCACATAATTCGCAGTCTTCCTCAGGCCTCACCAACAGAGGATGTGTGCCTTGGAAAGGCAGAAGACATGTGGCACATTCCTCCACCTCTCTTCCCAGGAATCATACCTATTTTTTCCCCCTTAGATCACTGTCCAAACTGAAAGAAAGCAAACATAGAACGTACTCAGATGTCAAGGAATATGGCAAGACAAGCAGCAGATAAACCTTTAAGATTTCATTCACTCAGCAGCATGTAGTGATCTGAGAGTGGGTTGTGGGCACAGTCAATACTGTACTCCAAACTGAGGACACAGAAGTGAACAGAAAATTAAACTATGTATTAGTCAACTTTGTGGTACTGTAATTAAATACCGAAGGCAATTAGCTTATACTGAGAAAAGGCTTATTTTGGCTCATGGTTCTGGAGATTCCAGTGCAACCTTAACAGCTTCATGGATATGGGCCTCAGGCCACTCAGATCTTGTCAAGGTCAAGCTACTATATATAAATGGGCACTTGTATTTTTCAAATCCAGTGCTTTATAAGCTGTGAAAACAAACATGTAAAAGTGACAAGAATGGGAATATTAACAGCCAAAAAGCTTACATGCAAAGGTTCTAGCATAAAGAGCACAGCTTGAGAAAAACTTAAAAGATAATGTTAGATTGTTATAGCTCACCCTTGAAGTTTCTGGACTAGAAAATGGAGAAGCTTCCCAAGATCTATCTCCTGTGTCAAAGGAATCATCTTGTTGAAATGCAAACTTCTGCTTCAGTGCATGTGATATTAGAGATACTGGATCCCACTGGGAACTTCGTCTTTGCTTCTTATGAATGGGCCTACCACCTGGTGACCTGGTTTTTAAAAACATTGACTAATTTAAATTTTTTTAGCTTCTTGTCGACAATCACATTAGGAAAATAAGCATTGTAATTATAACCTAATTAGTCTTCAAGAACTTGGTGTCATAAAATAAGAACTCTGAAGGAAAGTATGAATTGAGAATCAGAAAAACTAAGAATCCACGTGTGTTAAGACTGTACCACAACCTTGCTGCAGCCTGGCATTCTTTACTATCACTGTCCTGAAAAGCTTAACTTTAATTTTTTAATTTCCCAGTGGGAGGAAAAGTTTAAATATTTAAGAACTTTTTCAATTTTTTTCATGAAAATGTTTTGGCTAACCACTCATGGGTTTGTTCATTCAGTTCTCACTGAATACCTACTATCGCAGGACGCTACTCAAAAGAGCATACAGTTTAAAACTGATGAATTATTTATTTCTGGAATTTCCCATTTAAGAGTTTCAGACCATAATTGACCATGGGTGACTGAAACAATGGAAAGGAAAACAGTAGATAAGGGGCCCTACTATATTCCTGATACTCTACATAGTAAGGTATTAAAAAAAAAAAACCCAGAATTATAAGGCCATAGAAAAAATAGTCAAAAAGGAGTATTTCAGTGAGGAGCAATCAGAAGTGATAAGGAGTAAGAAATGAGAAAAACATCGACATGATTTCCTTAAAAGCATTGTTGACAGCATTTCAGCACCTTTCCCTGATTATAACTTACCGTTCAACAGCACGAAGCTTCACCTTATCCATGTCCTTTAGAACATCCAACATGTTTGGAACATCAGCATTTCTTTGGTCTGGGGAATGATTATAAATGTTCTTCTTCATACTTGAGTGCTGCCTTTTCACTTCAGTTACTGGAATATCTGAGTCACCAACATCGGTAGATCCAGATTGTATGGGGGGGCTCCAAGGAGGCTGGAGAGAAGGACAGTGAGGAGGAAGTGGCGGTGGAGGAGGAGGAACCGCTGATTTTGGAAATGGATCTGGTTCTGCTCTCAGTTGAGCTGATGATGGGGTCCCTCCTACACCACTGTCTTCATTCAAGTCACAGGAACCTAAAACCAAGGCAGTGTGTTCAAGAACTCATGCAACATTCTCTGTCACACAAAATACATAAGTAAAACGAGAATCAGAACAGGAACCCTTTGTAAGAGTCCAGCCAAACTGTACATTCATTTTTAATCCAATTAGGGATTATCAGCATGTATTTTAAAGAGAAAGCAAAGTGGTTTCACAAGTGTTCCTACAGAATCTGAGCTCCATTCTCCATTTAAAAAGCTAAAACATAATCAACAACTTGTGGTTAGGAACACTAAACTGACACATACACTCTATCAACATAGTGAGAAACTAGCACCTTCTTCTCTAGGCATGAGCCTGAAAGGAATACACAGAGCATTTAACTAGTTTCACCACACATTTACTCCTAACAAGACAGTGAGAAAGCTGATAATTGTGTATTTATATATCATTATAGTCCTTTTTTGTATCTAAACTATCATAAACTATGACTTATTTCTATAATAAATCATGTTATAAATATATGCTATATACATATACTATACAAGTGATATGTGTATATATTATGTATGCATGTGCATACCTTTCAATGCTGTCTTTTTTGGGGGTGGGAGGTTTGGGAGGTCCAGTCGTGGGGTCTGAACTTTGGGATTGGGCGCTGTCCCTCAGCTCTTCAGCTCAAGGCTAGCGCTCTACCACTTAAGCCACAGCGCCACTTCTGGATTTTTTCGTTTTGCTTATGTGGTGCTGAGGAATCAAACCCATGGCCTCATGCATGCAAGGCAAGTGCTCTATCACTGAGCCACCTTCCCAACCCTGCTGTCTTGTTCTTTAAACTCCAATTCTTTTCCTTACTCTCCATTTCTTTTCTAAAGAACTAGAAAGGCTTACTTAGAAGATGTGTTACACCAAAGCCTTCCCCTCACAACACATCTCAATGTATTCTAAATAAACTTCAGATATGATGTTATATACCCAACCTCCTGCCACATATTTGATGCTGGCTACAGTTCCTATTCTAAACTACACTAACTTAAATCCCAAAGAAGAATCGTGTAGCTGAGACACAAGTCCAGCGTTAATTACCAGAATTTCTACCACTACTCAGTTGCTTCATCGCCACAATCGCAGCAATCTGAGAGCGAAGAAAAGTTAGCTCATCTTCAAGGGCAGCCAGCTTTTCAATCGCAGCTTTGCTTACAGGTACATCATTTTCCATGCGCATGTTCTGCCCAGGTGACAGGTGAAGCCGAGCTGGTTGCAAAGGAGGAAAAAATTCAAATTCTTCGTCTTCCTTTTCCCATGTGCTTTTTCTGTGAGTATAAAGAAAGAACAGAAGGAGATTTTCAAGGAAAATTTTCATCAAAAAAAGAAAAAGAAACTCTCATAAAAATCAAAAGACAACAAAGCAGGGACAGGGATTGTAATTCAGTGTTACACTACTTGCATAGAATGTACAAAAGCTTGTCTCCAGTACCCCCAAGTGCCCCCCCACCCCTGCCACACACACACACACAAAGCTGGGTGTGGTGGTACACACCAGTATCCTAGCTACTTGAAAGGCATAAGAGGATCACAAATTCAAGGCCAGCCTGGAGGAGGTAAGGAGACCTTGTCTCAAAATTACACACACCACACACCACACACCACACACACACACACACACACACACACACACACAGCTGGATTCTATAAATCACATTTATAATCCCAACTACACAGAAGGCTGAGATCATGATTGAAGTTCAAGGCCAACCTAGTCAGAATATTAACAAGATTCCACCTCAGAAAATACGCCTGTAATCCTAGCTACTCAGAAGGCTGAAATCTGAGGATCATGGTTTGAAGCCAGCCCAGAAAGGAAAGTCTGTGAGACTCTTATCTCCACAAACTAACCAACAAAACCAGAAGCAGCGCAGTGGCTCAAGTAGTAGATAGCAACCAAATCCTAAATTCAAACTGCACCCCCCAAAAAAAAACCCAAAAACAAAAGCAGAATATCTTGGTTTATACCTGTCATCCCAACCACAGTGGAAGCATATTTTGGAGAATCAGAGTCTAAGTCCAGCCCAAGAAAAAAATGTGGGATCCTATCTGAAAAAATAAATTAAGAAGCAAAAGGTAGGGGAGTAGCAAAATCCCAAGTTCAAAGTAAGCCCCGAGGGAGATAGAAAAATCCCAAGTTCAAAGTAAGCCCAGGCAAAGGTAGCAAGATCTTATCTCAAACTTAAAAAAAAAAAAAGACTGTGGACACACCTGAAGTAGAACACTAGCAAACAAAAGGCCTTATCTGAATGTACTAATATGTAAATTAGTACCCTCTAGGAGTAATACATCCTAATTTTGTAATAATCTGTAATATCATGGGAGATTCATTCCAGGATCCCTTGCAGACACCAAAATCTATAGATGCTCAGGTCCTTGTATAAAATGGTATCATAATCTGTAAGTAAGCTATGAACATCTCCTTCATACTTGAAATCAGTTCTACTTATTAATCGCATACAATGCTGATCAGTCACTCCATTCTCATGGATTAATGCAGTAACAGGAGCATAGAAAATTCAAAGTTTTTCTTTGGAGAATTTTCAAGAATTTCTCTTCAAATAGTTTTAATCCAGAATTGTCTGAATCCACATATATGGAATACAGAATCCATATGGAACCCACGTATACAGAGGGTAGAATGCTTTCTTAACACCACTGTCTAGTACACAATAGTGAGTCCCATATAAATTTTGGTTCAGTATGTAAAAATAAATCTAGCATTTATTTTATAGAAATAAAAATGTTTTGTTTCTACTATACAAAACAATAAACATCCATCATGATTCTAATACTTTCTAATAATCATACTTTTTTAGATTTGATGTCAGATTGAGTATACTAAAAGAAATTGGTTAGGGTGCCAATAGCTCAGGCCTATAATCCTACTTACAGTTCCTGACCAGGCCATGCAAAAAAAAAAAAAAAAAAAAACAGAAAAAAGGAACTTACTAGGTCATTTTTCATCACAAAAAAGCTGGGCATGATAGCATATGCCTATCATCCTAGCTACCACAAGAAGCATAAATGGGAGAGAATTAAGAGCCCAGGATGGCCCAGGCAAAAAGCAAGACCCTATCTCAAACAAAATCAGAGAAAAAGGACTAGAGGTATGGTTCAAGCTTAGCAGACACAAAGTCCTGAGTTCAAATCCCTCTCCCTCTCCCCCCCCCAAAAAAAACCTCTAAAAAATGGAAGATATTAGTAGGATTCAGCAGAGACAGAGAGGGAGAAAAAAGATGATCATTGCAAATTTCAGCACATGCAAGAATTCAGATCATAGCTATATTCCACTTCCCAAGAGAAGCATATGAAATTACCGATATCTGAGGTGACCAGCTTCTTCATCATTTGCCACACACAAAATATCAGCAAAAGATGGAACCACAGATCCACAATTATTAGATTCCACAGAGTTCAAGTGTGGGATCAACTAAAATAAATGAAAAAAGTCAGAGCTCTGAAAGGCATTAATACATTAACAATCCAAAGGAAACAAAAAAGGGGAAAGGATATACAAAAGAAAAGCATGCAATCTGTGAACAAGAGAAAATATTGCAAGGAATCTTATACTATAGCCTCAGTGTGTAGCAATATTGTCTTCCTTGGTTAATAAAACTGTACATATATATGTATCTATAGTATATATAGATATATAGTCCATAAAAATAAGTAAAATAAGATCTCAGGTGTTCTTTGCACCTATTCGTGTTTGAATATAATGGTAAAGAAACAAAAATATTCATGGTGGGTGCAGGAAACTGGTGGCTGTCTGTACTCCTCCCAACTCAGGAAGCTGAAATCTGAGGATAGCAGTTCAAAGCTAGCCTGGGCAGACAAATCTACAACACTCTTATCTCCAAATAACCACCAAAAAAAAACCCCACATAGAAGTGGATGTGTGGCTCAAATGATTGAGCAAAAAAGTTAAGAGAGAGTTAGAAGCCCTGAATGAAAGCCCAAAGATGTGCACCAAAAAAATTTTTTTAAATCATGAAATGACTTGTTTCCAGAGACAGACTGTTAGCTTCTTGCTAACAGTATCTAGGATTTGTCCATGGGAGCCCATCAACACCTTACTTACCTCAAAATTAGGTCTTTGACAAGGTTCTAAAGGAAGTATTTTCCCAATAATACGAACAATACTCCGAGCTGATCCATATTTATTTTTATTTTTCCAAGTCAGCAAAGCCTATTTAAAAATAAAGCTTAGTTTAAAACATACTAATTACACTTGTTTAAACATCCAAGAAATAAAGGAAATGCACAAGATGTAATAACATTTATTTTCTAAAAAGAAAATATAGTATGGCATGCTCTTAAAATATCTTCAAAGAACGATTACATATATTTTTAAATAATCTGGTTTTAAAAATATTAAAGTGAAGAAAACTCTTTTTAAATAGGAAAAAAGAGAGGAAAGGGGAAGCAAATAGCAAGGGAGAGACAGAAGAGGGGAAGAATGCATCAAGATTTGTTCTCTCTTTTCAATACTGTCCTAATACCTTGGAGAAGGATTTTCTTCAGAAAAAGTTATCCCCTCTCCCAGCAACTAAAAATCTCACCTTTTGGTCCAAGCAAACTAATAATTGTTGGGAATGGTAATACACATCTATAATGCCAGGATTCAGGTGGCTATGGAAGTAGGACTCCAAGCTTTTTCACTCAAAGCTGGCACTCTACCACTTGAGCCACACCTCTACTTCTTGCTTTTTGCTGATTAGTTGGAGATTAGAGTCTCACAGACTTTTCTGCCCAGGCTAGCTTTGAACTATTAGATCTCAGCTTCCTGAGTAGCTAGGATTTCAGGATTACCTGTAATTACCTGAGAGAGAGGATACTCTCTCTCAAATTCATTCTAGATTTGGTGAGGTTTTAAATTGCCATCTTATATACGCCCAAACATCAAACTTGCTCATAAGCTACCTGAATTAGAAGTTTTATTTATCTATAACCAATCTAACTCTGTGAAGGTCATGTCATATATTTTATTCCTTTTGTATTTTCTATTGACATTTAACTTAAGAGGGAAATAGGTCCTGAAAAATCTTAGCACCCTTCTTTTCCATTTCAACTACTGCTATTGCAAACTCATCTTTATTCCACTTAAGTGGAAAAAAAAATTTGCCTAAAAATATTTACATATAGCCCATTTTCAAAACAAGACACAAAAAACAAAGACAGTAGATTCATTCTAAACCATTAAAGGACATTTACCTGGTCTATGGGAACACCAAAATATGCCAGAATCTCTCTTAAGATATTCAAGATCAGAGACATTGATGAAAAAATTCAAGGTAACATCATCAATTTCTCGGTACCTTCAGGGGAAAAAAAATAAGCAAATATTACTCTTGACAAGTACACTAAGCTGTATGAAGTCGTCTAGAAGAGACCTTTCATTATACCAATTCTGGCCATCATTATTTTGACGAAAATCAGAAAGTCGAGGAGAGGGGGATTTTAACTAAAATTTCAACTCATCTGCTAAATTACATTAAAACTTTATGGGATGTTTGAGTCGTTCTAAACCGGCTTCGAGCTGGTTTGAGACTGTGGCTGGATCTGTCCTGACAGCTCTCAGCCCTCAGGACCCGACAGCTCTGGGCACTTGGGACAGCTGACAGCACTGGGCACTCGTTGGGACCCCTCACAGCGGGCAGGGCCTGACTCAGAATGAAAACCACCTCGTCACACAAACGTAGTGGATACCACTCATCCCCCGCGCTCATTTTAAAGATAAGAGAAGTGATGGCGGCAGGCGACGCGACTCAACCACCTAACCAGCACGTGGCGAGCATGCGAGTCCAGCCGCGCGGCTGGCTCTCGGCGACCCTCCCCACACCCGGCGGGGTGGCCTCGCTCACCTATCCAGAGACTGAGCCTCAGCAGCCTGCGCACGGGACGTGGGGCGTTATGGAAGCTCCTCTGAACCATCCAGAGAGCGTTGATACGAGTCCAGGGCGCTCAGGTTACAGGACCCAGCAGTGCGAGCACACGTGGAGGCCGGGCGGTGGAGAGTGGCAGGCAGGGAGAGAGGGACAGGCGGTAGAGAGCCCGCACTCGGACAGTAGAGCTCCGCCTGGACAGCAACTAAGCAGCGGCTTCCTCCCCACTTCCGCGTCCCGGAACCTTAAAGTCAAACTCCGCGGGCCTGGGCCGCAGCACGATCTCATTGGACCAAGATGAAGACCGCGGCTTCTGATTGGCCCTCGGATGTGACCTTTTTAGAAGGGCTTAAAACCGTGGGTCCTTTCCTTCTTAAGGGGGCGGGCCTTCCCTCAAGGCAGCCAATAGCAGTGGACAGGAAGTTGATAGGTGGGACAAGTTTCCCGGGAAAGTGACGCACACGCGGGACCAAAGGTAGCTTCGACACCGCTTAGAGCTGTTTTTAAAGAAGCCGTGTGGCACGCGAAACCAGGACCCAAAGGGACGTGCCCTCCCACGTTCGATGACCACCGAGTCGGTCTCGGGGCCTGAAGGCCTGGCACTGACCTTGGGACCTTTTTGCCCCAAGGGTAGCACTCTACCACTTGAGCCACTGCACCACTTCCGGAAGAATAGACCCCAGCGCCTCACGCTCGCTAGGCAAGCACCCCTCCACGAAGCCACACTCCCAGCCCGAGTCAAATGACTTTCTGAACGTCTATTGAATCCCTCCCGGACTAATGTAAGCTAAGCATTACTCTTTCTTTTTAACTTTTGCAATCTTTAAATTAATTCGTTCGTGCACTAAAGGCTTCTGATTATCCAGGATACCAATAGGGGGCTGGCCATTCCCTTAGCCTAACCAAGGATCCGCCGTGATGACATCCGTTTTTAGTCAATTGGAGCCGACTAGCTTCATGAGGGACAACACAGCTTCCTCTCCTTGGGAAAGCAGGAATGGCATTGGAGTGGGCTAATCTGTGCCTACATCCTGACCTACACCTGAGGGAAATTTTGTAATTTTTAACTTCTCCGAAGATTATTCACTCAACTAATGCTGGGTGTCTTACTATGTGTCAGGCACCATTCTAAGCTGACCAGGTCCCTGCCCTCCTACAGCTTATATAATAGTGAAAGGATCAATATATAGTACTATACACTCTGTCAACTGGTGTCTAGTAGGCACCCAATCCACTTGTTGAATAACTGGACAGGAAAAGATTTGGAAGTAAATAAATGCAGAGCAGTGATTGATCACTTTCCCAGGTATTTGAAGGAGGGAAGGGCTAAAGTAGCCAGAGAGTGCTGGTTGACAATGTAAAAAGCAACTGGATTCCTACATGGAATTAAACCAGACAAAATTTTCCCCAATTCTGTCATCCTTGGTTCTCCTAAGTGAATAAATCACGACTTTATAATCCCAACTTCAAAAAAGCTAATTATCTGTGTAGAGTACCCTTCAAATAGTATTAACAAATAGGGTACATTTGTTTTTTGAGACTTACGTGTACACTTCTCTTGATACCAGCCTTCTATCTTCTCTACCCAGGTGAACCTGATTGCACCTTTCCTCACTGTAAAGATCTGGTCCTAGACCTGGTAGGTCAGCTGAGTTTGGTAGAGAAGAGTGTCCTAGCCATTCCAGCCTATACTGTGGGTACTTCAAATTATCAAAGGTATCAGACTCACGACTATCAGCTACTGCCCAGTGAATAAATAGCTGGTGGCTGACAGTCGAGAGACAATTCTTTACTCTCACATCTTCAATTAATATTTGGAGAATCATGGAAATAGTTATCATCCAGTTTTATAACAAATGTTATTAGCATTTGGTTTTGCTACCTAGCTGCCAACATTTTCCAGAATCACTAATAATTTTCTTACAGCTAACTTTATGGTTTATCCTGGTTTCCCAATGCCAGATGTGTATTATTCATACATACTCAAGGCCAGGAAGTTTCTCAATGAATGGAAGTAGGCCAAACAATAGTTTAAGCAAAAAAAAAAAAAAGCTAAATGTTTATTTTCCCAACTTCCCAGAAGAGAAGCCCTGTGACCCCATGCTGATAGTAAAGCAAACTCAAATTACTACACTGTGATAACCTTAATAGGTTAAACTATTCTACCAAAAACCAAGTAATTGCCTCTCCAATTTTCACAAGTGTCATAAAAGGGTAATACAAATTGAGATGAACATGACCAGAAAACTCAAAATTTTAATTCCTATATGTATGTGTGCCTTTTTCTTTCTGCATTGCCAAAATCCATATATTATGCTCATAAATAAGAATACTTTTGTTCACTATGTAGTAAGGGTTGGCTAAAACCTCATCAGAAAGTTTTGTTTTCCCAGTTGGATCTTCAGACCGTCCAGCTATGTATCAATCCTCCACTGTTTCTGTGTAATCCTCCACCCTTTAGTGATAATGAACCCAAATATTTTTCAATATTGTTGTGGCCTAAACAACCCAAATTTAAAATCCTCCTGCATAAAAACTCAATAGCTCGTTTTGATTGCCTTATAACTAATGAATGGCAAATTGTCACCCACATAAATAAACATGGCATAAAACCTTGAAAATCTTAAAAATACATTTTTCTATCTTGTGTTGAAATGTTTCCTTAAGTAATCACTAAAAAATTCAGTTGTTGGATGAGTATGTAGGCACACCCTAGCACTCAAGAGGATTACCATTTTGAGGCCAGCATGGGCTACACATTAAGTTCTAAACCCAGGTACAGACACATTTTCTTCCTGTCTCAAAAAGGGTTCAGGAAAAAGGTTTAAATTTTCACTCCCACTTAGGAGTGAAAACAATGCTTAATCTTGATTTACATCATCCAACCTTTTTTTGGGGGGTGGGGGGAAGGTTCAGCATTAAGTAACAAAGGCATTGCTGACAAACTATCCACTGAGATAATTTCTGCAGAAAACTTGCTATCGCAGATTAACTGGGGGATTTTGTTTTTGTCAGTCATAGGGCTTGAACCAAGGGCCTGGGTGCTATCCCTGAGCCTTTGTGCACAGGCTAGTGCATCACATTGAGCCACAGAGCCTCTTCCTGTTTTCTGGTGGTTAACCAGAGATTAAGTTTCACAGACTTTCCTGCCCAAACTGGCTTTGAATTGGATCCTTACATCTGAGCCTCTTGAGTCAACAGGATTACAGGAGTGAGCTCACAGATTAACTGTTTGGTTTTGTTGGTCCTGGGACTTGAACTCGGCCTGGACACTGCCCCTGAGCTCTTCAGCTCAAAGCTAACACTCTACCACTTGAGCCACAGCGCCACGTCCAGTTTTCAGATGGTTAACTGGAGATAGACTCTCACAGACTTTCCTGCTTGGCAAATGTTCATGTACCTGTTTTTCAAGCGGCTTCCAATTCTGCATATTAAAATGAAGGTGATATGGAATGTTTTTCCTTGTTTGCACATGATTTGAATTTGGTTACTTCTACTCTGGAAAACTCCTTTTTAAGTACTAGAAACTTGAAGTACTGGACACATAACCTATTCCAACTATTCACATGACCCTATTTTAGGCCTCAAACTTCTAGTTTGAATATACCAAACATTAGACAACTTACTACAATCCAACTTTCCTGGTTCACAGAAATCTGTACTCTTGCTCAGAATATTTTTACTGTGGAAATAGGAAATGAGACGTAAGTAAAATTAAGTGACAACCTGGAAACAATGTGCTAAAATTCAATCACACTCAGACAAGAATTTGTTGGGCTGGGAAGATGGCTCAATGGTAGAGCACTTGCCTTGCATGCCTGCGGCCCTGGATTTGATTCCTCAGCACTACATAAGCAAAATGAAAAGAGCCGGAAGTGGCACTATGGCTCAAGTGGTAGAGTGCTAGACTTGAGCTGAAGAGCTGAGGGACAGCGCCCAATCCCAGAGTTCAGGCCCCATGACTGGACCCCCCCCAAAAAAAAAATTAAAAAAAATAAAAGAACTTGTAATTTTTTGCTAGGGGTAAGGAATAGGACAAGGCAAGAATGCAAACACCAGCTGTTCCAACAACCAGAAGCCATTGAAGCATTTTTAGCTTTTAAAATGACATTGTGCACTTAAAAAACCTTCCAGAAGTGGAAATATAAAGGATAAAATGGATGAGTCAAAAACAACTATTGAAACTAAAAAATTCTGGAAAAAGGCATCATAATATACTTATTGCTGGTGGGAATGGTAAACTAGTATAGCCACATGTAACCACTATGAAAAAAAAGTACCAATTTCTCAAAAAACTAAACATGGTTACCTTATATCCAGTGAAACTACTTTTGAGCATTTATATGATACTGCTTATCAAGATACAAGTAACTCAAGTATCAGTGGCTCACACCTGTAATCCTAGCTATTCAGGAGGCTGAGGTCCAAGGATCTCACAATTTGAAGCCAGCCTTGGCAAGAAAGTCTGAGACTCTTATCTCCAGTTAACTTCAAAAAAGGCCAGGAGTGGTTCAAGAGAGCACTAGTTTAAGCACAAAAGATCAGGGGTAGCACCCAGGCCATGAGTTCAAGCTCCAAAACCAGCACCAAAGAAAAAGATACATAGAAAACACCTGCAAATCCATGTTCATCACAGCACAGTTTACAATAGCCAAGTGTCCCACAATGGATAAAAAAAATGAGTATTATATATACAATAGAATTTTATACAGCCATCTAACAATGAAATGTTTTTTTTTGGGAGGGGGGCGGACATGGGGCCTGAACTCTGGGCCTGGGCGCTGTCCCTCAGCTCTTCAGCTCAAGGCTAGTGCTCTACCACTCGAGCCACTGCACCACTTCCGGATTTCTTTTTTGCTTATATGGTTCTGAGGAATCGAACCCAGGGCCTCAGGCATGCAAGGCAAGTGCTCTACAACTGTGCCACCTTCCCAGCCAATGAAGTGATTTTATTTGGAAGTAAATGAAGCAGAAAAATACACTGAGCCAGCTAAACACTAACGGCTCACTACAGGCCTATAATCCAAGCTACTCAGGAAGCTGAGACTGGAGGATAACAGTTCAAATCAAGCCCAGGTAGAAAAGTCCAGGAGTCTCATCTCCAACCAGCAAAAAGCCAGAACTGGAGGCATGGCTCACATTGTTGAAATCTAGCCTTAAACAAAAAAGCTTAGCAAGGAATACAAGGACTGGCAACAAGAGAAAACAAAACCAAAAACTATTGTATGCCTAACTTTACACGGACTAACCAGAAAGCTGTAGAGTATGTATAGTACAGTATGTCAGTCAGGAGCTACAGGAGGAGAAATAAGAAACAGCTGCTTAATAAAAACAGGTTTCTTTGAGGTGCTGAAAGTACTTCAGAACTGTAAGTGGCACATTATGAATGTACTAAATTGCTAATGCATTGTTTTAAAATGGGTAAATTTATTTTATGTAAATTTCATCTCAATTAAAAACTTTTAAAACTTCACAAATGTTTATATAGATGCAACAATTGCAATGATCACAAAACTGGAAAACAAGGTATTCTTCAGAAGTGAATGACAGAGCAGACCACTGTGGGTCCACATGTTCAACACTATTTAGCAGTAAAATGGAGTGGACTCTTGAAACACACACCAAGCAGATGAATCCCCAGAGAATCATGTTGACTGAGAAAAGCCAATCCCAGCTTACATCATGTCTGTTTCTCTGTATGTATCGAACTTTCTTGAACCAACACTAGAGAAGCAGAGAGTAGATCAATGGCACTGAAGGTAAAGGAGGTGGTTAGAATGTGATACTTACAGTACTGGAAGTGTACTTCACTTTACCAAGTATCAATTCACCACTGGATGGAATACAAGGGACACTCTGCAGTAACTTTCAATTGCATAAGAACTTGTGATCTCAAAATAAAAAGGTTAAGTTAAAAGTTAAAAATTGTCAATCTGTCTTAGCACACAAAGTTCTGTGAAAATGTTTCCAGCTGAAAAGGAGGCACATTTTATGTTTCAAAATAATCTGTCAGTGTGGTAAGAACTGCACAAGATCTTACTAAAGGAAACAATCCTTTAGTTATTAACTAGAGGAGGATTTAAAGGAAGGCCCTGTATTTAACACAGGAATAAACTACAAAGCTAGAATGCCTGTTTTTTAGTAATGATTCACTTATGAGTTACAATTTCTCATTTTCCCAGGGAAAGATAGTAATAGTTGAGGAATTTTATCAACATATACCAAGTTACTTATATAACTCATATAAATGAGTTAATATTCTGGGGTCTAGAAATAAGCAATAGAAATCCGTAAGGAAGAATACATAATGATTTCAAAATTAGGTAAACAAACAGCAGCTGTTACCACTTATGACATTTTATTGGCATATGACAATTTACAAGAGTCCCTGTTTATACATCACATTGAGTAAAAATCGTTTAGCCATCTACATTCATCCTTACTGGGTAATATTTTTTCTCAAATTATAATTCCCAACAATGATTTCAACGGTGACAAAAAAGGGAACAACAGCAATTCCTTGAAGTAGAATGCAATTGGGGGAAACTTATTTTGCTTTTTGTTATTAAAATTCCTAGGATGGTGAAAAGCATACACACCCAAGAATTGAGTCATGGCCTTCTTAAACATCTTATTTTTTCTGGAAAAATCCTTTGGTTCATTTTTATTTCTTTGCTCTAGGCAAAAGAAAGTATGTTAATGCAGCTATCCAAGTTATTTTCTGGCACTTGTAATCTAGTAACTTACCAAAGGAACCAACTCAGCTTTAAAACATGTCACAGTGTAGAATTAAAATTGTGGCTTAAAAAAATAACACACACTACTTGTTTATATGCTTAGCTCTGAAAAAGGTAACAATCATAATGGTATTATACTGTGGAATTCTCATAATTACCCTACTCTACAATGTCTGGTAGGATATTCTTTTCTCAACTTAAAGATAATAAAAGTAACTAAAAGTTATAGCACTGTATTTATATAACTTGCCAACTTCCTATAAATAATTTCTCAGCAAATTCCATTCTGTCTTAAATACAAAAGCAAAACCTGCACATTTATAAACATGCATAGATTCGGTGTCTAACCAATTAGTAACTTTTAAAATAAGTTTATCTGTATACTTGTAAATAGAATGGTCATGAGAATTGTGTGAGGGGTCAAATCCATGTTGTTTTAATATTAGTATCACTCCAAATGCAGTATTATGTCCAGAATAATGCAACACAAACTTGGCTTTGGTGGATATTCATTCTGATTTACTAATTTCAGAAACAATTGTAAAAAATAATACAACACTAAGAATCTTAAGCCAAAGAAAGTGTATGCTAACTTTGGTGTAGTTTTGTTTCTAATACCTCCTAGCTAAAATCCCCGGCTATAATCAAGATGAAAGACACACTGCAAAACCATCAAAACTGAAAATTAAAGAGCCTTAAAAGCTTACATTAATAGTGAGCATTTTTAAATGCAAAAATATACAAGTCATCCAGCTGAATCCAATGAATCTGACTTCCTTTACATATTAAAACAAAACAACACTGAAGTTTACTATTTTTACTCCTTTACATTAAAAAAAAACTGACATTTAAGATTAGCTACCTGAACAATAGAAAACAAAAAAGGCCATTTTACAAATTACAACTGAAATGAGGGGGAGTGGAGAATCAAGTTAAATCAATACTACAATTTTCCTGACAAAATCTTTTATTGGTGACATTAGAACATGTTACTTAAAATATTATACTAGTGAACAGTTATGTTGTCTGCCACTTCTTGTGATTACACTACAAACTAATCTTCAGCTGTTCAGAAGCTCAAATAAGTAAGCTGTCAAATCATATATTACATCAAATTACTCTGCAGGATAAACCTCATCCATACCAATACCAGAAGTACAGGTTTTGTTCTTTGAATACTAACATGGTTCTGTGGAACAAGGATTTTTGTTTTCAATTTCACTACAAACCAGTTTCCCTGTCTCAAACAGCTGATACTAAAGACCATGACTCAAGCTATCAAAAGAATGTAAAGAGAATACTCAATTTTGAACTCAAATAGTGAAAGACTCCTAAAAAGGATTGTTTTGTAGGCCACGGCTTGCTTTCATTAAAAATAGTATTTTCTCAACTTGGTAATTTTTACTTTTATAGCTATTGGCAAAGCTTGTTTTTCCTTAATATTTGCAGAAATGTTAAGCTGGTTTGACCAAAGTAACAACTTCATGGTATGTTTCAAACACCAGTCACCCTATAATGTAGTGTTCAGATTAAGGATATGGAGTTAAAATTATTAGTGTGGTCACTACAGACAATTTCTCTTCAAGGATTTGTGTAGAGCTAACGTTTACTTCAGAATAAAACAGTAACAAACAGGGAGGAGAGAATCAGAACTTTCACAGAGCTGTACTTGACCATATCATATAGACAAAGCAGAATTACAATGCATGTAACAAAAACAGTAAAAGTTCTTTTTTAAAAGTTGATAGTTACAAATATGGTACGTAACAATTTTCTACTTTTTATCAGTACGATTTTCAACATACAGTCTACTGTTTCTTCAAGGTATTTGAAGACTTTAAAACAAATTTCTAGACTACTTGCAAACAGTAAATTTTAAGTAAAATGCTTACATTCTTATATGAAAACAAAAATCAGGTTAAAAAAAATGGTGGGTGCAAGTTCTGCTCTCTGTTGCAATCTTACTTCAGAATCACTATTCCTAAGAGAAAAACATAAATAAAGATTAATAAGGATGTGAAAAATGGAAGCAATCCATAACAATATGTTTACCATGAACCCATGCTAAATTAGAATGTCAGAATAACAAGGAATACAATTTTTACCTTTTCTTCTTTGCGTCTGTCCTTCTTTTCTTCATTATTTTCCATGGTCTCTTCTTCATCTTCAACAATCCCATCCCCTTGGTATTTGTCATGAGTCCATTTTGGACTACTACCTGATTTTTTGAAATTAAAGCGCCCTCTGCCACGTTGAAAAGTACCACGACCTCTTCCTCTTTTGGCCCAATAATCCACACCATCATCTCTATCATCATGCTACAGAAAGGTTAAAAAAAGAAAAATCAATGAATCTTTCTTGTAAAGATGATTGCTTCTTCAATCATAAATCATATAATTATTCGTCTGGAGATTAGTAATGTTCTAAAGCATAGTAAAACAAACAATATAACTGATTTGTTTTTCAAGAAAAAAAAATTTTTTCAACAAAAAAGTTCCATTCTCAAAGAACGATTACATCCTACTACTTAATAACCCAAACACCAAGGGTGGCCCAGAGAACTATTTGGGGACTATCAACTGCTAAATTATTACTTTCAGAATTTTATTTTAGTTTCCCTATTAGCCTGTCTATGCTCCACCAGTATAATAACTCTACTTGTTATTTACCATTACAGTAAAATAAAACCACCAATGTGTCCACAAAAATACCAGTCATAAGGTTGTGGCAAAGGATGTAGCAAAAAGCCACAAGTGCCACTGCAATGCCATAACATTCATTAAACATGTGGCAAGAAAATTACATCCTACATACAAAAACATTTTAAAATCTCATCAAGAAGTATACATACATTCGTCTGGGCTAGACTGTCAATATCAAATCACAATGGCATAGTTTCTAGTGTAATATATTTCAGCTACTTCTATACTGTAGTTCCTAATGTAATATGCCTCAGTTATCTTCTTTTGTATTATAGCTATTTCATTTGAACCTTTTGTCACAATTAGCTTTATAAATACATATTCTCTAACTTGCAAATTATCACATTCTAAATATGCCTTTCTGTGTATCCAATTAATGCAGCTTACACTCTTACAAGACAAATACTGAGATAGTACAAGACAGTAAAAGACTACAAGGAAGAAAGGACTTCCTAACTATTAATCTTTTCCAAGTTAATGAAAGGGAATATGGATGACTCTATGAATGATTTCTGGAATTAACAAAGGTACGAATTTAAGTATGTCAGGAAAACCTTCATTTCAAAATACACTATTTTAAAAGTCTGTCACTTAAAAACACTGCCTACTCAATTATGTTGTATCATGCTCCCTATGGCATTAATATCCAACTTTACTGCCTTCAGTATTCCTATTATTCATTAAGTCTGGAAGTAACAGTATGGTTTTAAATATTACAGAAACCACAACTATGTATGTAACTTCTGAGAATTTATCTACTCACATAAACACTTGGAAATCAAAAGAGAAAACCTGGCTAAGCACTGAATGGAAGATGATAATTATTTCTAAAGTTCTTTCTATGGGTATGCCGTTATTCTACATTATTTACATGTATTTACTTACCTAATCCTCTAAACATTTATGTAAAATACTGTTAGTATCCCTAATTTACAGATTAAAAAAATTAAGGCACATTAAGCACAGAATCAATTTCCCAGATATGCTATTATTAGGTATCTTAGAGTTAGCAGAAAAAGGAAAAGCAGTGGCAAAACTAGATGCCAGAGTTAAACTAGCAATTATTTTTTGATACTTTTTTTTAACCTAAAGTTTCAGATGATAATGTAATAGCTAAATATACACTAAGCTGGGGATCTGAGGGAATCCTAATAGCTATTTAAATTTTTTGATGCTAACCATGCTCTTAATACTCAAATTCTTACATCCAAAATTTCTACCTCAATATTAAGATTTCATAGATGGCAAACAATCAGAAGTTAGATAGTTACAGGTAAAAAATAATTTATAAAAAAAAAGTCCACGTTAGAATGAAACTTTCTGGATCCTCTTCTTTCCTTTACATAAAAGAATCAACTTGCAAGGGACTTATTCATCCTCTGAAGAAACATATCAACTCAAAACTGGGAACTTGTCCACTTCAGTGCTGTCCTGCTTATTTCATTCAATTCTTCATACTCACCCCATCAAGGTTGTTCTACCTAATACTAGTTAGAGTCTCCCCTGGAATTCCTATTATTGAAAGCATTACCATGCTCTTTCATAAACTCAGTTTTGACATGGGAAGTTTCAAAATACAATACAACCAAATGCTACTGTAGTTTTACAGTACTTTCACAAATCTAGCTCAGGAGGTTCGATGCATGTGCTCAAATTCTAACTCCAATCTTACAAGCCATATAATGGTGAAGCTATTCAATGCCTGTTTCTTTTTTCTGTAAAAACACTTCACTTTAGGAACATTGTGAGTTAGTACATGTGAAACATTTAAACTCCTATTACACTATGTAATACTAATATTTCATTGAAGGGAACAACATTTTTATGTCACCCAGTTATGCAGAAAGAACCTAAGGTAGGATATAGGTATAAATATCAATTTTTTCTGACTTGCAAACCGTTTTAGTTTAGTTTCATCAACACTAACTTTCTAAACAAGTCACAATATCTTTACCTAGGATGCAAACTATTTTAAATTCAATATCTATATAAAACCAAAAGTTATCATTTCATTATATATTAAGAATAAAAATAACTATGGGAATTATTTATGAAGAAAATTAAGGTCTTCTACTTGATATTTTACTCAGTATCAACATGATACATAAATACACTTTATACACAGACCAAAATTTCAAAGTATAGTTCAAAATAGCAATGTATAAAGTATTAATTTTACAGATAAGTTACTGAATTCTTTAACACCCTGGTATTATCAATAAAACTACCGCCAACCTAAAATGATTATATCTCCATTTAGATAAAAATCTATTATAGGAGAATCTGAATGATTAACAGCAGGTAGATTTTCATAATTCCAATCTACTAGCTCACTATTCACTTTCTCTTACTCCACTTTTCATACTTGGTCCACTTGTCTGGCTTTTATTATCATTACTCCAGTCCCACATTTGAGACAATGATCTTTCAATCCTCTTCTAAATACAAGATCTTATCATACCTGTAATGGTGAACTATAAAATGATGCTTCTGATCTACATTATTGGATATATTTGCACTTGATTACCTTCAGTCACTTCAAATTAAGAACAGAATAAGTTTCTCCTTAATGCAGTTACCTGTTCTCTAGAATTTCCTCTTCCTACCAACATCCAATTAGGATTGTCACACAGTTCCCATGTTTTCTCATATTTTCTAAAATATAGTACCCTACTACTTCACTCAATAACTCTCAAATCTTGTAACTATCCTAATCATTATCCCTTTTCTAAACCTTACATAGAACATAAATTTACAGCCAGGGAATCACAGTATCAGAGTACAATGGCATATGCCTGTCATTTGGGCAACATAAGAAAACACAAATTAAGGATCACAGTCCAGGCCTGCCTGGGCATAAAGTGAGACCCTATCTTGGAAATAACCAATGAGGAATGATAGAAGAGGTAACTCTGATGAAGATTCTTCATAATATATGTAAATTGATATGTTCAACTGAAAGCCCTTTACAACTCTTTATAAAGATAATTAGAAAAGGGAAAGGGGCAGCAGAGTAACTCTAGTGGTAGAGCACCTGCCTTACAAGCACAAGATCCTGAGTTCAAACTGTACTAAATAACATTTTTAAAAAATGTTTTAGGGTTCTGGTGTCTGACACTTGCAATCCTAGCTACTCAGGAGGCTGAAATCTGAGGATGCATGTCCAAATCCAATTTTGTCTGAAAACTCTGAGACTCTATTTTCAATTTTTTCATAAAAATCCAGAAGTGAATGGAGGGGCAAAAATCTAAGGGAGAACACCCTGGCATTAAGTTCAACTCCCTGTTTAAAAAAAAAACACAAAAACATAATGTTTATATGTAAATTCTGAAAACAAAAAATAGACGAACCTTTTGAAGTTATCTTTTTCATTTTTGAATATCAACTCAAAAACAACATACCCTGAGTTTCTCAGCAGTAAAAGCAAGTATTATACATCATACACAAAAAAAAGGTGGGGCTGGGAAGGTGGCTCAGTGGTAGAGTGCTTGCCTTGCATGCATGAGGCCCTGGTTCGATTCCTCAAGCACCACATAAGCAGAAAAAAGCTGGAAGTGGTGCTGTGGCTCAAGTGGTAGAGCACTAGCCTTGAGCTGAAGAGCTGAGGGACAGCGCACAGGCCCAGAGTTCAGGCCCCACGACTGGCAAAAACAAAAAAACAAAAAAGGTAACTCTTTCAATTTCCAAAAGAGGCAAATGAAAGTTAACTTTTAAGTATTGTCAATTTTCTACAAATTCACTTCAGAATATCATTTACACTTAACAAAGAAAGTATGTCATAATTGTTTTAATCATAAAAAGTCAAATTAAGAAAGCATGCTCTAAAACCCTTACCATTTTTTCTTTGCTTCCTCCAAACAACTTATATTTCACAACTAGCCTTAGAAATATAACTTCACTGATACTTTAAACATTTCTCTTCCTTTTAATGCAAGACAGTTTTTCCCCTTGACAAACTGCAAAAAATTGTCATCTAGAGATACCAAAGAAGCCACAATCTCAAGCTCTATCCTTTGAAATCTACTTCAGAGGCAAAAGCATTCCACCAAAAGATCAAAATCAGTGTATCCAGTGATTGCATTTTCTAGAATGTGATTTTTTAATTTTCCCTCTTTTTTTTTTTTTTTGGTCAGTCATGGAGCTTGAACTCTGGGCCTGGGCACTGTCCCTGAGCTCTTCAGCTCAAGGCAAGCACTCTACCACTTGAGGCGCAGGTAACTGAAGAGTCTCACAGACTTTCCTGCCCCGGCTGGCTTTGAACTGAGATCCTCAGATCTCGGCCTCCTGAGTAGCCAGGATTACAGGTGTGAGCCACTAGCACCAGGAATATTTTCCTTTTATTCCAATAAATTTGACAACATTCCTAAGACCCTAAATCTTTTCCTGACTTTCATTTAAAGAAATAGCTGTGATGAAAGAGGATATAAGAAGTCTAAAATATCTCCATCTTATAGACAAATATGAAAAGTATGTTAAGCTCAACTACAAATTATGTTCTCTGAATATTGCTTATGTTTAGTTTATCCTGATCAGCCAGGATATGTTTTTCAATATGTTATGTTTTTCAAGGAAAATATAAACGGTAGTAAGGGACCCACATTTTCAGCTTTTAATAGTGATATTTTTAATGGTTTCCCAAGTTATGGTGAATTCTCCTCGTGAATATCTGTACTCAAATGTATTCTCCTATTATGTTCTGAAAATTAATGCAAACCAAATAAATATAGATTTCTAACACCCACCAAGAAGTACTTCTTGCTCTTTGGGGTATATTCTGGATCCCATTCCTCTTCCTTCGGTCTCTTTTGAAAAGTAGTATTTGAGTTGTTTGGACCAGTATTTGTCCCAGCAAAAACTCCTCTGGCTCTTCCTCTGCCTCTAATTCGAAACTGATTAACATTAACAAAATTGTTTAGTAATGCAATTGAAGGTATTTAGTTACATGCAAACTCTAACTTTATTGCAGTAACAATAAAAAACATGTCCTAATTTCCTACCTAAATATCTCTCTCTCAGCACCACTGAGGATTGAAAAGTAGCCGATGTATAGCATAGGCAAAAAAAAAAATTTAAATAGAAAACTAAAACCCTTTTGGTACTCGAAATTGAGTAGGTTAAGAAAAACAAGCTGTGTTAGAAGGCTGCCCAAACTAGTATTTTAAAATACAGAATATTTCCCCTTTTCTAGCCAAACATTATCTAATTCTTCTGAATTACCCAAAAGTAGGAGTCCAAAGTACTCAACCACTTCTTTAACAATGTGAAAGCTCTTCTCTTTCCCAATAATCTAATTAATGAACATTACTAATACCCAACTCAAGAGACCTCAAAGTAGAAAACAATCTAGAAATTAAAAAGGTAAGAAGATACGCTACTTTTGAGGACATTCATTATAGCAAGTTTACATGGAGATAATTTCTGCTATGTAGAATAAAAGGGAAAGTTACATGATTTTCTATAATACACAAATAAGCAAGGATATGAAGAAAAAAGGCAAAAATGAAGTAATTCCAATAAAAGGCAAAAATGAAGTAATTTCAATACAGCGATGAACACAGCAGTGTTTTTAGCTTTTTTAAACAGCCTTTAGACCTATAAGCAACTGTGGAAATGAAGCTAAAACATAACTCTCCTGAATCTTGAGTCTTTAAAGACTGTTTATACTTACAAAATATCTATACTTACAAAGCACAGAGACTTCAAGTTCTCAAAGTGGCATTTCATCTTAAAGAGGATACTTAAACTGCCACTGCATTTTCTAAGACTAAGTCTAAGATTAAAAATAATGCCTCATAAAACAATCCCTAGATCATCTACTTGATTTTCCCTGTATATACTAAGTTAAAAACAAATGATCAAAGGTAACTTTCATTACTTACAAAGGTTCCTCGTGGTCTGCTTACTCCTGCAAAGCCTGAGTATTCTTTCAGTTCATGGTGAGTTTTAAAGTCTTCTTCTCTTTCCTTCTTACTCTCCTTTTCTTCTCTAGAACTGGGAGATGAAGGTGATGCTGAAGATGATGATGATCGAGAATGATCTTGCTCTCTACTTTTATGTTTACTATAAAACAAAGGGAAAAATGGGACTATTTTTAAAAACCATCAAGAACCCTGTTGGTATTATAATAAGAGGAATATTTTAAGTCAAACTATCCCCTATTAAAAATATTACATAAGTAAAATAATTGGGTGTTAAATTTTGACACAGTCTACTTCCATTCTCCTTCAGTGTTTGTTTTCTGTCACTAATAACAAGCATAGTATAGCCTGCCAGTTAGAAACTAGTAAATAGTTTGTAAAATTCAAGAATAAAGTTCAGTTCAATATTTTAAGTTAATTTATAAAATCTTTTTAAGGAAAGGAAAAAGAAGAGTGGGAAAAACAATGTTCTAAAGGCCAAGTTTCAAAATAACTGCAGTTTATATACCCTGAATGAGAACAGTTTGTATGGTTTGGGCCATAACATCAATATAGAAATAAAATGCATATGATATTACAAATACCAGTCATAAGTTTTAAAACACGAGTAAAATTCACGATGTACCTAATGAACAGCAAGAAAAACAATTATCTATAATACTTTGTATTCCTATTATTCAACTCTATGATGAGCAAATTTACATGAGTCTAATAATGCAACACCCGAAAAGGTCATACCTGGGTAACTCTTACCACTGCTAACAGTATCCATGGAAATATTATTTTGAAAAACTAATACACATCACTATTTCTAGTCCTTCCTCCCCCCCAATTTTTCCCATGTTAAAACCACTAGAAATCAGTTTAAAATTCTTGTACTCTGGGTGTTATGAGTTGAAAAAGTGCGGAATCAAGCATAACGAACCAAAGTTCTTACACAAACTGTTTCTAGAAATGCACTGCATTGAAGTCCAACCTCCTGATGTAGCCTGGATAATAGGACACATTAATTTGTCATTTTTTTTTTCAGTGTTAGCTTGCTATTCCAAAGTTTTTGTCCTCATCCACCATAAGCCGTGTAAAAGACAAATACATTTTTGCTGTAAAACAAATAATTTTAATTGTTTAAATTTAAACATTCGATTACACAGTCAAAATTGAAAGCAATTAAGCTGACAATTATTAAAGGCTAATTAGAAGCTAAAACCTAACTCAGACAATTTTAACAATTACCTGTCGTCTTTGTAAGATTTGTATTCCTTGTAATCTTTTGAAGTTTTTTCCTGCTTTCTTGATCCACTGGATTCCCTGGAGCCCTTGGAATCCCCCCGTTCTTTACTTCTTTCTTTTCTACGACGATCAATGTCATGCCGAAGATCAGCAGAATCACACCTTAATTTTTTATCTCCCTACAAAAGACAGACATAAAATATAGATTTCAGGAAGAAATGGAAATGTATGTGTATATATAGATATAGATGCACATATGTAGCTAAGATTATGTCAGGTTCTAAATTGGCATTTTTAATGTCAAAAAATAATGGATCATATACATATTAACATCATCCTCAGCTTTTCTTAAAATGTACCTATTGTTTTTACTAAACATTTGTTTAAAAAGCAGTGGGTTTAGAAAAATAACTAAAAACTGTATTACACTTTATAGGATTTATTCAACAAAGCAATTTATAATAAACTTTGGTAAATGCAAAGTAAACATTTTTCCACTCAGTATACATCCTCATCCTTCCAAATGGCTTCTTAAAAGTAGTTTAACAATAATATAGTCTGTTATGATGAAGCCTTCTGCTTATAAAGGTCAAAGTATCCTAAAATAATGGTTCTCATTAACTACACCAATTATCATCAAGCTTTTCCCAGATCAATTGACAAACCCAATTAAAAAACACTTCAAAAATAAGATTTCTAATTTCCATAACATGCAAGAATATAATTAATGAAACTAATTGAGGTTGAACAAAGTTCAAAACAAATCAAAAAGATATTATTCGCAATCCTGTACTTAGTATCTTGGGCCATATACTGCCCTTTTTCAATTCAGGTATTGCAACGGACATTAGTTTAACTGGGTCACAGTTCACCTCCTTCTTGTTCCATTGCTTTTTCAAATACTATATAATTTAGGAAGATGAAAAGAAGCATCTAGGAATGAAGAGAAATTATACATCAGTAAGATGCTAAGCAATGTGGATATCCTTGCTAGTATTCAACAATTAAAAGTATTTACCCAGGGAAGTTTAGCTTTAATATTTGTAAGCATTCATAATACTCAAAGTGTATATACAGATATACATATATACACGACTTGAAGATATATCAAGTTGTAAGAACTACTCACCTATTTGCTCCTAGGATAACAAGGGAAAAAAAATCTAAGCACAAGCAAACCCATTTCCTATTCACCTAGATGTGACCAAGTCCACAGAACAAGATAAGCAAACTACTTTGCAAACTGCAAAGTATATAATACATGTTAATTATTTATTTAAAAAGATGAGCCAGGCACCAGTGGCTCATGCCTGTAATCCTAACTACTCAGGAGGCTGAGATTTGAGGCTCATGGTTCAAAGCCAGCCCAGGCAGGAAAGTCCGTGAGACTTTTATCTCCAATTAACCACCAAAAAACAGAAGTAGAGCTGTGGCTCAAATGGTAGAGTGCTAGCCTTGAGCTGAAGAGCTCAGGGACAGGGCCCAGGTCCAGAGTTCAAAGCCCCATGATTGACAAAAAAAAAAAAGTAAAAAATGTCATTTCCACTTGTCCATCTATCAGTAAGTACTACTCTCTCTCTTATACATAGAAATCAGGTCTGAGTAATGAAAAGAGAAAATACTGTCAGAGCATGAGGACAGAAAAGATTGTTGGTAAAATGTAATTAAGCAATACTGAACCCAATGTACTGAAGTTAAAAGAAAAAAAGTATTCATGTTTTAAAGTCTGTTTTTCCAAAATCAATGTCATATACACAAAGAAATTACTTTCTTTGTAAGCTCTAGATTCCACATTCAGTAAATTAATGACACACACCACTGAAAGACCTGTACACTGTTACTGTAAAGAACAGCTTCTATAAAAATGCCAGTATTTCAAAACAACTAAACTATTCCAACTCTGCAGCAGATATATTTATACTTTTTTTAACCTCAAGAATCATTGTTTATAAAGTAATTATTTTCAAAATATAAATACTGATGGCCATAACTAGAAGTAAGCAGTACTCCAAAAGATCACTCATCTTCTCAAAACAGGTATGGGATCCCTTCGCACTTTTCTGTAAATTTTTACTACTAGACGTTTTATGACCTCTTCCATTAGCTAGTCTCCTTAGTAAATGTCAAACAAATTATTAGAGTACCCATAACCATTGAATTCCATTCTCACCAAGGCTCTTAAGCATCCCACCCAGCCTATCCCAGTGCTTAATCTTTCAGAAGCTCCTTTCTCAAGTATAAAGCCATTCCTCAAACAGACAAAGTACTCAAATAGTGAATTTTTGTTCCAAAGGTTCACTTGTCAACAAGTTCCTGTATACTTAACCCACATTAAAAATCCTAAAAATAAGAGGATAACTTCTTGATATCCATACTATTTTATGAATAAGTTTTGGATACTCTTACCTTAAAACATTACAGAAACCATAATTTAACATATAAATTGCTTTTATACCCTACCTATTCTTAAACGTTTCTCAGGCCTAATATTTTTCTTCAATTAGCATTTTTTAAATTATTCTTGATTTAAGATACTCTAATGTCAGTTTAATTTCCCCAACAAACACAACCATAAATATGATGCTTATTAAGTTAAAAGTCAACATTCTAAAGTCCTAAAAAAAATATTTAATATATTAATTCCAACTTCATAAAAAGGGAGGGAGAAGAATTAAAAGGCATACCTTCTGATTTTCTTCTTTAAAAACTCTCTCTTCCCCTGCTAAACGCGTATGCTTCCTCAGGGCACTTGGAGAGATGTCAATTCTCCTTAATGTAAAATAAAGTGTATTTGTAACAATTTTCTGCTTCAAAAGAATACACAGCACTTCCCACTGTCATGAGAAAATAATGATTTCTCTAATTTATTATAGTAAGTCTATTAATTTCTTCACTTCTGTGCCAGTCTTAGGGTTTGAACTTAGGGCCTTGGTACTTGTTCCTCAAATTTTTGTCCATGGTTACTATTGTTCTACCACCTAAGCCATCCTCCACTTCCAACTTTTTGGTGTTTAACTAGAGATAGGAATTGCGGGGCTGGGATGGTGGCTCAGTGGTAGAGCGCTTGCTTTGCATGCCTGAGGCCCTGGGTTCGATTTCCCAGCACCACATAAGCAAGAAGAAAAAAAAGCCAGAAGTGGCGCCGTGGCTCAAGTGGTAGAGCGCTAGGCTTGAGCTGAAGAGCTGAGGGACAGCACCCAGACCCAGAGCTCAGGCCCCATGACCAGACCCCCCCCCCAAAAAAGAGAGAAAGGAATCGCATGCCTTGGTTAGCTTCGAACTGCGATCCTCAGATTTCAGCCTCCACAGTAGCTAGGATTACAGGCCACCAGTGCCTGGCTAGTCTATTAATTTCTAAAACAAGAAATAAAAATGAGGTAGAGGCATGGCTCAAGTAGGACAGCATATACCAAGGCAAAGTTCAAATTCTAATTTCACACACAAAAAAAGGAAAAAGAAAAATATCAATTAAAACGCTTCAGCTAGATTTTTATATATAAATATAGGTTATTCTTAAAAACATCTAATTTTGTTTATTTTTTGGGGGGGGTTCGGTTGTGGGGCCTAAACTCTGGGCCTGGGCGCTGTCCCTCAGTTCTTCAGCTCAAGGCTAGCTCTCTACCACTTGAGCCACAGCGCCACTTCCAGCTTTTTTTCTTTCTGCTTATGTGGTGCTGAGGAATCAAACCCAGGGCCTCATCCACTGAGCCACCTTCCCAGCCCCTAATTTTGTTTTTTTAGTAGCGCATAAATTAAGTTGTACAAGGGAGGGGAGTTGTCACATTCCAAAACATATAAACAATGTAGCCATATCAATCCTGACCCTCCTCCTCCATCACTCTTCCTTATCTCACACCCCTACTTAAAACAATTTCAACAGACTTCACTGTTCTATTTCTACTTTCGCACATGGACCATGGTCATCATCTATCACCATCTCAATTAGCACCCTCCCATTGATACCTCCCAAAAGTCTGTATTACTTTCAAAACAAACATTTCTAACACAAAATTGAAATATACTTTTTCTAATAAACATTACCATTTAAGTATTAATCCAATAATCCCAGCGAACACATGATTGGTGGCTTCTAAGAGCCCCTATATTTTTACACACACAGTTGATCTTTAGTCTCATTCTGTGCCTTTTTTTTTTTTTTTGGTCAGTTGTGGGGTCTACAGTCTGGGCCTAGGCATTGTCCCTCAGCTCTTCAGCTTAAGGCTAGTACTCTACCACTTGAGCCACAGCACCACTTCCAGCTTTATCTGCTTATGTGGTGCTGAGGAATCAAACCCAGGGTATCACGCATACAAGGCAAGCACGCTACCACTGAGACACCTTCCTAGCCCTGTGACTTTCATTTTTAAGCTAGGTCAACTAAAATTTCTAGTGCTTCTTTAGCAGTCACCACCAAAACCTCATCAAGTAGTACAGTGTGTTACTTTAAACCCGGCATCACTAATTATACAACCAACCAAATGGACATTCTTATTCTGCAGATGAACACTCAGATTAAATAACTTGATCACAGAACACAAACATCTGACTTAAAATTTTATGAAAATATCTTCTACCTCTCACCAGGTAGTTTAATAAACTTACTAGGAATAAATTTAAGCATTACTTTTTTTTTTGGGGGGGGGTCTGGTCGTGGGGCTTGAACTCTGGGCCTGGGTGCTGTCCCTCAGCTCTTCAGCTCAAGGCTAGCACTCTACCACTTGAGCCACAGCACCACTTCCGGCTTTTTTTTTCTTTTTGCTTATGTGGTGCTGAGGAATCGAACCCAGGGCCTCAGGCTTGCAAGGCAAGCGCTCTACCACTGAGCCACCTTCCCAGCCCCTAAGCATTACTTTTTAAGCATCCACTCTCCCAAAACACCACAGTCCTCCCTCTTCCCAAAAAACTGATAACTAAATTCTATACTGCATGATTGTTAGTATTTTAAGTTCTAAAAACTTTTAACCAAGAAAAATGAAAATGTCATGACTTTGAAATACATTTAACATAAAAATTTATTCAACACATACATTCCAACAAAAGCTGGAATGTATCATAGTAATATACTTCCCTCCTATATGATCTTATTTAAAAGTGCCTTCCTTTCAAATCATTCTTAAATGCAAATTCAATACCACATGTACCTGTGTATCTCAGGGCTCTTTTGCCGGGCACTATGCTCTTCAGTGGCTTTCTGATATGAAGTGAAACGCTCGTTCAGGGTCATTGCAGGTGATTTGAAGTATTGCTCTGTTGATTTAGGAGAAATACTGGAGGATTAGGCATCTTTCAAAATAACACTACATTTGTGACAGAAGGGCATGTAGCAGGTGAAAAGAAAAATATTCTCAAGAAACCTAGCAGAAGAGAATCCAATGTTCCAAAAACCTCTTACTTTCCTTTTTAACTTCATTAGTAAAGATCTTCACAATTCCCTGTCAATACTATTCATAATCCAACGGTAATTGGTAAATTAAGTCAAGAATAGAGCTCCACTTTTAACACACTACTTCTTCAAACAAAAACGTTACAGTAATGTGATATCCTCACACCTTGCTAACTCATGAATCAATGAACCTATTTCAAGTAACCATTTACAGAGAATATGAAAAAAGCACAAAGTTTGAGTAAATTAATGAAATTATTTTAAGCACTATGCTAAGATCAACAGAAATGACTTTATAAAAACCAAAAAACTGAACACTGCCATTCAATTGGATTTTAATCAATTCACATTCACTAATTACTCCAAAAATCTGGCGTCTTGGCAAACCTGACATCTCATGATATCCTATCTTTCTTTAAACAATTTTTAAATTAGTAATATATCAATGATGATTAGTTTTTAACCAGTTCAAAATATGCTGTAAATGTAAAATAGTAAGACGTATACATGAAATGTTATATTATGAAGTAAGCTATCTGCTTTACAGGTCAATGTACATCTGTGTCAACTTACCGCCCAATATCCAGCACATGTCTCATAACCAATCATTAAAACTTGAAATGGCCACTACAAGGGTAGTGCCTCAATAATTCCATGAAACCCAGGAATTTGAGCTAGCAACTCAGTTTTTATGCCATTTTTGCCAGGAAGACAGAAGATTCAACTTTGCCTGTATCTTTCAACAGCTATTTTACTTTGAAACATGGATTTTTGCCATTTCAAAACATATTCCAGGACCTAGTTACAATGAAAAAGAAAACATCACTGGGCATTTTCAGCTCTATATAAATAAAGAGCTGTTCAGATCGGTTGCACAACACCAATTATGAAATGTAACTACAGTTCTTTTTTTTAAAAGTTAAAAAAAAGAAAGGAAAAAGGAAAAAATTATCAAAATCTGATCTCAAAATTCAGTAAATTGTAAAGTCAGGGCAAAAAAAGGCAAAAAAAGGCAAAATGTTAATGTTTCATATTTAAGGTACCACAGTAATATGGTCATAAACTGGTTCACAAATTATAAATAGCAAAATAGCAAAGTCTTTTGATACCATGTTTTAAGTAATTACAGCCAAAAAAGAAACTCAGTAACTATTTAAATACTGTTTGAAACATCAAGGACATAAGTAATTCCTAGTGACAAGTTTCAACTATGTGTTACTGTCATGACACTTTTTAAAAACACTTTTAAATACCAAAAGTCCACAGAGTATGTCCTGAGAACCTACTAAGCATAAAACACAAACCTTAACCTAATTGTCCAAAAAAGTGATATTCAAAAAACTCTTTAAAACTACAGCATATTGATGAATATATAAAATCATTACTTTAGTTGACATGCACACACTTAAGACTTTATGTAACATGCTCATAGATTTCTTGAAATTACACCCCTTAAAAAGCCCTAGTAAACTTTCTCTGGTTTATCATTCTTAAAAAACTAAGAGTTATAAAAACAAATTAAGTAGCACAGAAGAGAGGAAGTAATAGTATGTTTCCTGTATTTTCAGAGTTCTTCAGTTAAACAGAAAATTTGTTTATGAAATTGCTATAAATCTATGCCAACAATACATTATTATCACAAGTCACAGGCATATAATAAAGATGATCTTTATAAATATATAAAGATGATCTTCAGTTCATTTTAAAAATATTTTCAGCAGTACAAATATTTTCTAGTACTTTGGTCAGTTTCTCTTAAATATCTTCAGGAGTTTCAATACCTGTGCCACATAATTTTCCCCCAAAATTTAATAGTACTGATGGATACCCACTAGCTTTGAAACACATTAGTAAACCTACTTATTATTTTATTTACATGCAGGAGATGTTTAATTTATGACACTAAACATACTATGCATACCTTTAACATGATGAACCAAGGACACAATGTGCTGTATAAAAGACTCTGAAGTGCTTTTGCTGGCCTGAGGCAACTTAATGTGGTCAAAGATGGATCGGAATTCTTGCTCCTTCTTGACAGAATGGACAAGCGTACTAGCAAGTAGCCTGTCTTTAGTCAAGGAGGCAGGTCTGGAACATATCAATAACAAACACACACACAAACAAAATACACCATTGGTTTTAATGCAAAAACTATCTGTTCAGAAAATAAGGTAACTGTAATACCAATTACCCATAGATTACTTACAGGGCACCAATGTGGAATTACCTGTTAGAATCATCAAGAGGAACAGGTGCCATTTTGAGTTTGACTTCAGGACGATGAGAATCACTGGCTATCATTTTGATCCTAAGTGGACTCTCCTCCCTGAAGGTAGATTTTTCTCTTGCATCCAGATTCTTATGGAGAGGGGGACTGTAATCAAAGAGGTCTTTGAGCTTTTCAGACTTTACCTGCTCAGGTGACTGAGTTTCTTTTTTTACTGTTATTCTTTCAGAACTTTTGTCTTCTTCCTTGTGTTTATCTTTTGTAGTGCTAGGCCTTTCCACTACATATCCAGTCTCTTTAAGTTTGTAACTTTTTTCTTCTCTAAATCCATCACTTTCTCTATTGCCTTTCAGTGAAACTTTGGACTTGTACTTGGGTCCTTCCTCCTCAGTATTCCGGTGAGATGCAGTAGCAAAACTTTTACCCTGATCTGCAAGGACTGATTTCCTAAACTGTCTATAATCCTCTGTTTCCTCTGTGTCATCCCCTTCTGAATCATTAAACTTTTGTTTTCCAGACTCTTTATCACTGAAGTAATCTAGGACTTCCTGATCTTCCCACTCTCCCTCTGTCCTCCCTTTCTCTGATCCTTTCTCCTTGGGAGCTTCTTTATCCCTAGTATTACCCCTATCAAGCAGGAATACTCTAGACTCTTCATCTGTGAACCTGTGAATAAACAAAGAAGAGGATGGTAACTCTGGACTGCATTTTTTGTAGATCACTTACATATACTTTAATGTGTTGTCCTAGTATCAAAGGATCAGCAATGAGAGAAAATAGATAATCTTAACTTCTGAGGCATAGAGTAGACCATACATGTTATCTATAACATTTCTACTTGTAATTATACTGATTTCACTTATCTGTCACTATAAACAAGAGCTCATAAGGATAGTTACAACCCCAAATGAATCACAAAATGGTTCATACAAATTGTTACAGAAAATGATTTCTGGCAATATTTAATAAAAGCCGAATATAAATCCAATAAAAAAATTGAGGTTCCAGACTTCAGTGTCAATTTTTCTAAGTTCCTTACTTTTAGCAACCAATTTTCATTATGCCTTGTTAGCAACTCTGTCTACAATACTTGAGAGAATCTGCATAAACTATAAATTTCATTAGAGTCAGTAAGAATTAGCATCATCTTTTCTAAAGCCAAGTAAAATTTATTAAACATTGACAGGTAGGCAATGTATATAGTACTACAAAAGAACGTGTAAATGTAACACGTACTCTCCCCCCCCTCCCCCAGTAAGGTTGTGGGGCTTGAACTCTGGGCTTGGGCGCTGTTCCTGTGCTCCTCAGCTCAAGGCAAGCGCTCTACCGCTTGAGCCACAGCACCACTTCTGGTTTTTGAGCGGTTTATTGAAGATAAGAGTCTCTGGACTTTCCTGCCCAGGCTGGCTTTGAACTGTGATCCTCAGATCTCAGCCTAAGTAGCTAGGATTTCAGGGGTGAGCCACCAGCACACATATTCTTTATGTAGGTCATATGCTAGTGAAGGAAAAGCTTTCAATAATCTAGCACAAAAAAAAATTCTGGAACTGATTGTGCTCTATACTACTCAATTTCTTCTTGTTTCTGTTAATTCTGAACTAAAAATGGATAAAATTAAAATGGATGTTACTAAAACACTTAACCTCTCAAAATTTTCTGATTAAAAATAGTTGTGGAATCCTGCCATAAAGTAGGAAAACAGCTAAATACTATGATTAAATTTTACTATTATAATCTCAACTCCTCCTTTAATTATTACCTTTTTAAGAACTTTCCAGTCTTTGCAGTTTCCTGATCTCCATCAGGATAAAATGAAGACCGTCCTCTAGACTCATCTCTTGGAGCATTCTGTGGTGTGATTGTCTTTGCAGGGCTTCTTCGTGAAGGGATATGATGAATTGGACTATTCTGGGAAGGACTGTATCGACTAGATCCATTTCCAACAGAACCAGACCCAGATCTTTCAGGACTATGCTGAATGGAATGTGAATGTTGAGAGGGGGTATTTTTTGCAGAGTGGACTGTACTAAGCATGGGGGCATCTGAGCAAGATGAACTTTGACTAGGTGGTGTAGGAATAGGTGAAGGACTATGAGGTGACCTGGGACTATTATCATAAGCTGAAAGGCCGGGCCAAATATCACCAGATGTGGCCGATTTGTTAAACTCATCAATAGATTCAGATGGATCATGTTCAAATGTATCCTTCGGTTCCTCCTGTGATTTACTTTTCATTGGACTCTCTTCTTGAGGTTCCCCTTCAGCTTTTTTGGTTTGTTTTTCCTGAGACCCTCGTCTTTTAGAGACTGGAGATTTGCTATATGGGGATGAAGAACGAGATGATGATGATCTTGGAGACCTAGAGGATCTATATGACCGACGAGATCTGCTTCGAGATCTTTGAGAAGATACAGATCTTCTTTTTGGACTCCTGGACCGTGAACGACCTCGTCGAGGACTCCTTGAGTGCCTTCTATTCCAAACAGGTCTATAACCACCACGATGATATCTACCTCCTCCTCCTTGGTAATACCCTCTACCCCTTCCTCTGTACCCATAAGGTCGTCTCATTCCTCTATTATTTCTGTAATCTCGACGATAATCTCTAGAATATATACGATCTCTACTACGAGATCTTGAATATGTCCTGGAACGAGACCTAGAACTAAAAATGAAATAAATATCAATGTGAGAAAAATGAAGCATTTTCTAAAGCCTCATTTATTTATTGCTTCTAGTTTCTAATTTTTTTAAGTAATACACTTCTGAGAACTAAGGCCTAAGAAATGAACATACCAAAAATTGGGCAAAAACCAAGTAACATGTATTAGCAAATTACATCTAGGTTGGCCCTTAAAGAGATAATGTAAAAAAAAAACTATAATGATATGACATCATGTATTATAAAAGGAGAAAAGAATTACACACTATTATATATAGTGAAACACCACTGGTATTCAGCAAAACTAGGCCTAGAAAATGAATATGAAAACAATATTTTTTAATGGCTGGCCACTCTTTATTTTCAACATGTGGCTTCTACTTTCTGTGCTATGTATGCAATACTATTTGAAGAAAACCAGTTATATTTTTTAATAAAATAAAAATCAAGAATAGACTATAAAATACAATAGACTATACAATACAGTATCAAGTAATTCTTACATTTTGCTATCTTTTAATGGTATGGAACATACAAAGAAATCCATTCTATACTAGCATAGTACAAAATAAGGATTTGGGATCTGGATTCAAACCCAAACACGGCTATGTACTAAATTGTAATTGGGGAAATTATCAATCTTTTAAATTGAGTACAACAGATTTATGTCACAGAATGAAGTAATTTTTAATTGGCTTACTGGCCTTCTAGATGAATACAACACTGAAGTTATATAATCAATTAAAAAATTCAAGGCACATCAAATTCACGATCAAATTCACCTGTATCTCTTCTTTCTAGAGTGTGATCTTGATCTTGACCGAGAACTAGACTGTGATCTAGATTTTGATCTTGAAGAATGTGATCTAGAATTGGAGCGACCCATTTCGTTTCTCCTAATCAAACGAAAGAATAAAAAAGATTTTTAAAAAATCACAATATGCACCAAGAGCATTTACTTTATGTACAGATAACAAGTAGATTTAGTCCAATTTGATCCACTGTCCCTGAGTAAATTTTGTTTTCACCTCCTGACAAGTATTGTTTATTGATGATTTAACAGAAGATTTCTATGGACTGAACACCTATATCACAACCTATTAAGGCAGTAGTCATAGAAGCCAGAAAAAGCAGTATGACTGCAGCAGCACAATCCATGCTCAAAACAACTACTTCCTATATAATCAGGGGAAATTATATGACAGTATCACAGACAGGAAACCGAAATTCAAAAATAAAGCCAAGAGTCATCACAGTGCTTTACTGCTTTGAAATGGGACTGACATATATATAAAATATACATGTATATGCATATATTATATACTGTAACTATTACATATTACATTATATATACTGTATTCAGTATATGTACTAAAATAAACATAAGCCATTATAGTGCTTGACTGCTTTGAAATGGGACTAACCACTCATTTTATACTTATATTAATATATTGTTATACAATTATTATATACATAAAATATTGCCTTAAACAGTACTCATTAGAATAGTCCCCTAAATAAAACAATAGTCTCTGAACAGCTGGAACTTACATGACAATGTCTATCCCTATAACTTGCAAGAAATTCAAAAGGGATTAAACAAAAACATACTAGAACTACCAAAAGAGAGAGAGAGAGAGAGAGAGAGAGAGAAAGAGAGAGAGAGAGAGAGAGAGAGAGAGAGAGGAGACTCTTGTGTCCATTAAACTAGCAAAAAAGCCAAAAGTGGAGCTGTGGCCAAGTGCTCATCTTAAGGAAAAACAAGTACAGTTCCTAGTCCCTCAATTCAAATCCTTGTACTGGTGTAAAGAAAAAGAGAGAAGGGGAAGGGACAGAGAGGGAGGAAAGGAAGGGAGGGGAGAAAGAAAACTAGCAAGCAAAGAGTTGAAGGTCAAAAGATAGTGTCTTCCTAGCAAATTCACATTTGCTAGTTCAAACAGTACCACTACCAAAGAAAACAGATAAAACTCACATATATACCAAATGCTGTATTTAACTATATTTTTTAAATTTTTCAATGAACTAGAAGAGAACGAGGGAAGGGGTGACATTGTCCAAAAAGAAATATACTTTTTTTGGGGGGGTCTGATCATGGGGCCTGAACTCTGGGCCTGGGCGCTGTCCCTCAGCTCTTCAGCTCAAGGCTAGAGCTCTACCACTTGAGCTACAGCGCCACTTCCGACTTTTTTCTTTTTATGTGGTACTGAGGAATCAAACCCAGGGCCTCATGCATGCAAGGCAAGCGCTCTACCACTGAGCCACCTTCCCAGCCCCCAGAAATATAGTCTTTACTTGATTTATGTAACTGTAACCCCTCTGTAACTTCACCTTTATAATATTTTTTTTAATTTTTTTCAATGACTCTTTTTAAGTCTATACATTCTTTTTTAAATTAATTTATTTTTTGCCAGTCCTGGGGTTTGAACTCTGGTCTCTGTCCCTGAGCTGCTTCTGTACAAGGCTAGAGCTCTACCACTTGAGCAACAGTGCCACTTCTGGCTTTTTCTGAGTAGATTATTGGAGATAAGAGTTTCACAGGCTTTCCTGCCTGGACTGGCTTATAACAACCATCCTTAGATCTCAGTCTCCTGAGTGGCTAGGATTACGGTCATGAGCTCCCAGCTCCCAGCTTGTACATTCTTTCTTAGCCTCTTAAACTTAATTTATGCCATATACTATTGACCCTTCAAACTATTCAGGAGAATTGAGGTGAGATTCAAGTGGTAAAGCACCAGAGATGAAAAAAAGCCAAGTGAAAACACCCTGAGTTCAAGTCCCAAATTAGAAGTTCAGATCTCAAATTAGAAGCACTGACACTCATGGAATCAAAAATCCAGATATTAACCTGATTCCCCCAAAACTTCACCAATAAACTGTTGTTGACAAAAGCCTTACCAATAAAGAAAATTAACACATTCTATAATTTAGTGTTATATACTATAAAAAAAATAAAGCAACACAAAATTTACTGGAGAAACAAAATATTCAGAGATGACCAGCAATCACAGGAGGGCCAACAATTTTAAGTGGATACAATACTTAATATTACCACTATAATATGAACAGATGATTATGAAATTATTACAGCATAAGTGAACTTTTTCTACTTATGAATGCTGCATCTTTACATTTGTTTACATTTCTCAACTGCAAATGTAGCCATATAACACCTGTATATGTATATGGACAAATTTTAACATTTTGTAAGAAACGTATTTTTATATTAGCAAAGGCCAATTTCATAAATACATTTTATGTATTCCTTAAAATATCGCTTCCCATAACCCTTCTATTTCTTCTAGACTACATGATTCATCTCCAAGTTTTTTCAAACTCACAAATCTCTAAAACCATCCATGTAAATAAAGTAGACCCACCAAAATTCAAACTTGCATTATTCACAGGTCAATTATGTATTTCCAATCTTCTACTAATTTACTATTTAAAATAAGTCATTATTTCCTTAAAAATCAACTTACTGAACTAACTGCTTGTATTCTCATATACTTAAGTCACAGTTAAGGCCTCACACTTGCTAAGCCAGTGCTTCCAAGGCCTGAGCCAGGCTCCCAGCCCAAAACCAAACATTTCTAAAGGCATTTATTTTACAAGCCTAATTTTTTGCTCAGTATTATAAAAACATTTAGAGATAAAATTTGTGTGTATTTACTCAAAGAACATAAATGAAAATTTCGTAATTTAAGAGAAATATTTCAAAATGGGTATAAATGTTCTTTTAATAACAAGACAGACAAAATATATAGCTTCAAGGCTCAAAAAGGCAGAATAAAAATTCTTCTAAACATGAAGTAAAAACATTACCAGGGAATCTTCTACCTTGGTTTGGCAAATTATGTGGGGCTTTGTTTGTTTTTGTCGGTTGTAGGACTTGAACTCTGGGCCTGGTCGCTGTCCCTGAGCTCTTTAGCTTGGCTAATGCTTTACCATTTGAGCCATAGTACCACTTCTGGTTTTCTGGTGGTTAATTAAAGAGTCTCAAAGACGATCCTGCCCTGGCTGGCACTGAACTGCGATCCTCAGATCTCAGCCTCCTGAGTAGCTAGGATTACACTCGTGAGCCACGGGCACCCAGCAAATGATCTGATTTTTTTTTTTTGGTCGGTCGTGGGGCTTGAACTCTGGGCCTGAACACTGTCCCACAGCTCTTCAGCTCAAGGCGAGCACTCTACCACTTGAGCTACAGCGCCACTTCCAGTTTTCTGGTGGTTTATTGGAGATAGGAGTCTCACAGTCTCTCCTGCCCAGGCTGGCTTTGAACCGCAATCCTCAGATCTCAGCCTCCTGAGTAGCTAGGATTACAGGCGTGAGCCACCAGCGCCCGGCTAAATTATCTGATTTTTTAACAACACATTAAAATGGGTTTAAAAAAAACACATTTAAGCCAGATGTGGTAGTAACCACTTTTATCCTAGCAATTAGGAAACAGGAAAGTCACAAGTTCAGTGCTAGACCATAGTAAGATCCTGGTCTTAAAGGGGAAAGAGGAGACCACATTCACAGTTTCTAAAATAGGGATTCTACACAATCCTATGTTGTGACACTATTGCTACTTGATTTCAAAATATTACACTTCTCAAACTTTAAAGAATATACCTGTGTAATTTATATCACTGTAATTAGGTGTCAAGAAATGGCTAGGTTCCTGTATCTCACACCTATAAATCCTAGCAATTTTGCAAACTGAGATAGGAAGGCTCAAGGTTCTAGGACAGCCTAGGCTGAAAAACCCCTGAGATTTTTCTGCTCCCAGTATATTTTTAAGGTTTGGCTTTTTATCATGTCAGTTTTGGTCATTTGTTGTTTTGTGTGGTGCTGAGCTCATCAAACGAGCTTTGAACATATGACGCAAATGCTCTACCACCAATCTTTATTTCCAATTTTTGCTCCTTTTAAATATATACCTAAAATTCAAAATAAGTAGAAAACATACTTACCAAGCAGTTACCAGTCCAAAAGAAATTTTGATTAACATTTCTTTCTGTCCTTTACAAAAATATTCATCGCTAAAGCAAGCTAAGCTCTCACTTAAGACTGCCTGCATTCAAATCCACACTAAGACATGTTCTGAGGTAACCTTTGGCAAATTCCTAATTCCCAATGTCCTCAATTTATAAAATTAAGAAAATTGTACCAACCAGTTTCATAGTTATAGTCAACTAAATGAGCTAAAACATTTTTGTTAAGATAATGTTTTGCACATAAACAATTTTAATGAGCTTAACACCAAAATAAAGATGCTATTAGAAAATATTTCATTTGCTTGAAGAAGTTGGGTTAAGTAGCAAGGTCCTGAACCAGGAATGATAGCAACAAATTGTAATTCTAGCACTGTGAAGACTGAAGCAAAGGGGGGAAGGGAGGATGTAGTTGTGGAGGTGGGAAAGAAGGGATGGTAGGGGAAAAACAAAGGAGGAGGCAACAATGTTTGATAAGAAATGTACTCATTACCTTGCTCATGTTAACTGTAACCCCTCTGTACAGTATTTTCACAATAAAAAACATTTTAAAAAACTGAAGCAAGAAAATGGTCAGTAAATAGTACAAAGACAACTTAGTCTGTCAAAATAAAAGTCATCAAATAAAAGTAAGCAGCAGGGCCCTTTTGTCTTCTTTTGTTATAATTTGTATGCTCTCAGTTATTTAGATGTGTGACACATGAAAAAAGTGTAAATACCACTTACAGGCAAGATAAAAAACTTTTCTCCTAAATCTTAATTAAAATTTGACTTCATATTGTTACACATACATAAACCTTTCTCTAATCTTTTTTAGGGGACAATACTGGGTTTGAACTCAGGGACTTACGCTTGCTAGGCAGGTGCTCTACCACCTGAGCCACTCTCCCAGCCCTATTTGCTTTATTTGTGAAGTGGAGGATCTGAATTTTGCCAGCCTCCGACTTTGATCTTCTGATCTTTGTCTACCCAGACCATACCATCTCAATCATCTGCTCACCATCAATTTTTCTCCAGTAAGTCAAAACTACAAACTAGAAAAACAAATAGTACTTACCTTAAACTTTATGCAGGATCCAAATGTAAGTGCAGTCTTCAATATTGTAAAATTCTGGTATAAATGTTCTTGGAAATTAACTGTAAGTTCAAACTCCTGGCAAAGACAAAAAATAAATTTGGTTTATGATAAATTGAAAATAAACTAGTTAGGATTTGAAGAGAAGAAAATGAATTTTGTAAATTTTAGTAAGCAGTGAGTTTTTAACCATAAAAACTTTTAAGTAAGCTTGGTATGCTGGCACATTCCTACCACCTCAGCACTTTCAAGGCTGAAGCAAGAGGAACAAGAATTCAACATTAGTCTGAACACTAGGTAAAACACTACCAAAACCAATTTTTAAAATAAACTTTCAAATCTCTTAATCACACTGTAGCAGTACATCATGTAATAACAGCAATTTAACCTTATTTAAAAACCTGAATTCCAATTCTAACTATTAGGCCTTTGGAAAACACAAGACATGCTATGCTGTCTTTCACTCAAAAAATTCCCAAAGTATTTAACAATGCCATCATGGCATAGGAAAACATACCATATAGGCTGCATTTAATATTTATATGCCCCAGACTTTGCAACTAACATCTGACAGCTGAATTTCCACTAAGAGCCATCACAGTAACAATATTCTTAAAAGCATTTCAAGCTGGGTGCTGTTGGCTCATACTTGTAATCCTAGCTACTCAGAAGGCTGATATCTGAGGATCATGGTTTGCAGCCAGCCAGAGCAGGAAAATCCATGAGACTTTTGTGTATATGCATGCACACACGCCTGCATACCAAACTTGGGGCTTAAACTCAACCTTACTCAGGGGCCTGGGGCACTGCCCCTGAGCTTTTTTTCCTCAAGGCTAGTGTTCTACCACTTGAGCCACAGCTCCATTTCCAGCTTTCTTCTGGCGATTGAAAATGAGAGTCTCAACAACGTTCTTGTACGGGTTAGCTTCAAACTGTGATTACATGTTTGTAATGCCCAGCTCTGAAACTCTTATCTCCAATAAACCACCAAAAAGCAGGAAATGGACCTGTGGCTCAAGTGGCAGAGTGCTAGCCTTGAGCAATAAAACTCAGGGAGCTAGGCACTCACTGGTGGCTCACACCTGTAACAGTCCCTCCTGGATTTTCCTGTCAGGGCTGGCTTCAAACTGTGATCTTCAGCTCTCAGCCTTGAGAACAGTTAATCATGTGAGCCCAGCCCCAAGATTAGTTGTTCTTAAAAAAAAAAAAAAAAAAGCAAAACTCCAAGTGAGGCAAGGAAAAAAAAAAACTAATCTTCTAAATTAGTGTACTGTAAACATTTTTTTTTGCCAGTCCTAGGGCTTAACTCAGGGCTGGGCACTGTCACTAAGCTTCTTTTGCTCCAGGCTAGCATTCTACCACTTGAGCCACAGCACCACATCTGGCCTTTTCTGTTTATGTGGTACTGAGGAATTAAACCCAGGGCTTCATAAGTGCTTTAGGCAAGCACTCTACCACGAGGCCACATTCCCAACCTGTCAACAGAATTTTATTCTCATCTACAAGTCATAATCATCTGTTTCAGGAATATAACAAAATCATTTTAGCTAACACATCCCCTAACCATTTTCAAAAAAGCTACTTTAATTTCTACTAGTCAAAGACAAATCAACTGCCAAGTCTCTCTCGTATTTCCAGTCACGGGTTTTTGATGTTTCAAAAAAGCACACTAGAAATAGCAATAGAAAAGTACACTAGAAATAGAGGTCAGAAGAATTGTAGGACTCTAATGACCAGTGGCTACATATTCTAATTCACAATCTATAAATATATCCAAGTATCTATACAAACAATTCAAAGATATACAACCATCAGCAAAGACTATCCGCAACTTAATTTTTCTTCAGTGAGTCTGTATACAAACCATAGTGACATGCTAGCTAGATATAATTATGAGACATAACTATGTAAACGGTTCCTACCTTCCAAAAACCAAGAAGGACCAGATTATCAGCAAAAAAAATCATAGTACTGAGTCAAGCAGAAAAGGTCAGATAAGTTGATGTTAGGGAAATGAACCCTAAGATATGTATTCAAATGTTATTTTCTTTCAGGTGATTGTTTCTAACACATTTATAAGATTATTTCTTTGATGCTTTGTATGTCCTTCCCCCATGGTATAACTCCTGCTTTCACTGTATTTGAGGTTGGTATAATTTGTGGAGGGGAAGGGAAAAAACAAATCCTTTAAATAGGAATACAGGTGGATCCATTGCAACAATGAGATATACCAGTCGTTATGTCAAAAAAGAACTTTACAACTTTGGTGGGGGGGAGGATTGGGTGGTGGGGGGAGAATTGGGTGGTGGGACAAGGGGGAAGATGGGAAGGGATGGGAAGGGGAAACAAAGGAGGAGGCTACAATGCTTGATAAGAAATGTACTCATTATCTTGCCCATGTAATTGTAACCCCTCTGTACAGTATTTTCACAATAAAAAAGTAAAAAAAAAAATCATAGTAAACATCTAAATATCACATACCAAAAACTGTGCTAGATCACCTCAAATTAAAGCACTTGCAATCTTATGCTCTATCCCATCTTTTAAGAGACTAGAATTCTCTACTTTCAGAAGACTTTGAACCTAATGCATGCCTATTATATACCAGGCACTATTATCTCATTGTTGGGAATACAGCATTTTGAATGAGACTTAAATTTTCTACTTTTTTTGGACCTTCAGAGAGGGTAAGGAGGGAAAACACCAGACAGCAGCAAGTAACACACAGGCAGAATAAAAACACACTGTTAGGAGGAATGACGAGGAAAATGCAGTCCATGGGTCTTCTTTAAGGGATAAGGAAGAAAACTGCAAAGATCCAGAGCATTGTCAAGCATTTTTTAAGAAATGCTCTTAAGGCCAAGTGCTGATGCTCATGCTTGTAATTCTAGCTACTTAGGAGGCTTAGATCTGAGGACTGAGTTTGGAAGCCAGCCTGGGCAGGAGAAGTCAAGGAGACTTTCATCTCCAATGAACTTCCAAAAACTCAGAAGAGCTGTGGCTCAAAGTGGTACACTTGAGCAAAAAGAGCTCAGGGGTAGTGCCCCTGAGTTCAAGCCCCATGACTGAGGCCCTCCCCCACAAAAAACAAAAAAACTGGAATTTTAAATACTCCATGGAAATGGTAAGCAAATATTAAGCAAGATGATAAGTTCTGGTGATGATTAAATCTATCTGATGCTCATCTACTTTACTTTTAAAACTTGAAACTTTAAAAGAGCAAGCACACAACTGAGACTACCAGCACTCTAGACCAGGTCTTGCCAACCTCTGGCCTATGTGACCTTAAGTTTGACCTTTTTGATCTCCATGTAGAATATGGAAAAATACTAAATTCAGTAAAACTAATGTATCTGAAATCTCCAAAACATTACACAAATACTGGTTAGTTCTGTTATTACCAACATATCTTTAGTTTGCTTGTTGTTTATTCTAAATGCTTTTAACGGTGATATTGACCACCACTTTAAGCTAGAATGAACAAAATTCACATACAACTATAGTAACAAACCACTGAATATTACACAGCAGAATTTAGCTAAATGTTCCAAGTGGTGGTTTCTGAGAACTCTCAAGTGGAAAAATCTATGTAGAGCTAAAAAGTCTCCATTTCTACAAATCTCATCAGCTATCTAGTATAGCTTGCTGTCCACAAAGTTGTTCAATAAATTCAAAAGTGAGCAGTTCCTTTGATGTCTGTCACAAAGTCCTAAAAAACTGGAGTTCCTTAAGTCTAGAAATCAAATTTAAGCAGTCTGGGTCACCTGTTTGGTTACCTGAAATTAGGGTAGCTCCAGTGTTGTCCACAATGTAATGATTAGAATATGAATATAAAATCCTTAAAACAAGATACTGCCAAATCATTTTGGTCGGTCACCATGAGCTAAATACTTTAGATAAACAATCCTTCCCACCAATTTATTTATCCTGAATTGGTTAGGATCACAAAAAAATACAAATAAGCTGGTAGCAATTTTTCCTATGTAATACTGGTTGCCTAAACAGTCTAACAATTACAGTTAAGAGTGCAACTAGAATGAGAGAATTTACACTAAAGGAATTCTGCTTCTGGTTTTTAATACCGAAATATACACGTGTATTTTAAATGTATTTAAAAAGATGCCAATAAATACAAATCTGAAGTAGCTAATCATTTTTCATTAGTTTTAGCTACTTTTGCTCTTAACTTTTGAGCTTTTTCAACTCTAAAACACCAGGAAATAAAAATTTGCACGGCGTGACCGTCTCAAAACGGAGGGGGTTGCCAGGGAAACCAAGAATAACACACACCTGAGAAAACCTCCCGGTGGCACCAACGGTCCGTGGGTGGGCCAGGGTCACTTGCAAAGAGGATAGGAGAACAAGAGCCCTAAACCTCAGTTAGAACAATGAGGCCTAAACCGACAGGTAGCCGACAGCCGGGGAAAGTGGCTTAAAGACGACGTGGAGCCGGGCCGCCCCACCTACTGCACTTCGCTGCACTTCTCAGGTTTTATCAAAGGCTGAAAAGAACGGTCGCGTTTCCAGCCCACCAGAAAGAGATCGACGCCAGAAGTCACCTCACGCCGCCGCGCCGCCTTACGCGGGCGGAGAGAGAAAAGAAGGTGCGCGCGTGCGCAGAGCGCTCAGCCGGGCGCGCGCCGGGGTCCAGGCCAAGGAAATGGGGGAAGGGTTGAAGAGGGAAGTTTGCGCACGCGCAGAGACAGGCCGCGCGGTCGCACGAAAGCGAGCCAAGGTTCGCCACCGCGCGCGCGCGCGCCGTCCACACGGCACCCGCCCCTCCCCCACCCGCGGCCCGCCCGTACTACCTCAAAACCCCGAGAAAACTGAGGGAAAAACGGGCCGCTAACGACGCAACGTCTCCCGGGTCCTCTCACCACCGGCGGCCCGTCACCACCCACACAAAAAGAGTTCACGATATCCATCCGTCCTCGGCACTCAGCGCCGTCTGAGCAGCCTGAACGCAGAGCAAGACCTACCTGACACGGCAGAGAACGGTTCCCGGGACTTATCTCCGTTGTAACTACACAGCGGCCATTTCCCGACTCAAGAAGGAGAGGGAAAAACCATAGCGGTAGCTTCGACGCGCTAGCCCGTCGCCGTCACTTCCGACTTGGGGCGTGGCCTCGGGCGCCGCTAAATAGCAGGGCGAGGCCCCGCCCACTCTCCCGCCCAAAACCGGCTCTCCGGCCGCTAGCTACACATTGGCCCGAGGCTTTCTGGGAAATCTCGTGGTTGGTCTCGCGTGAGGACGTGGTGGCTCCGCCCTCTGGGCCAGAGCGGCAGCCGCCGCCTTGATGGCGGGAGGCTGGGGGGGCGGGGGGGAGCGCTGGGTGTCGGGAGGCGCCCCCGCGCTGCGCCGTGGGGCTTGCACGCTCCTCGGCCCGGTGCTCCGGAGGCGCGGCCGGCTTCCCGGCCCTGCAGTTGGGTCGTCCGGGCTGTTCTTTCAGTGAGAGCCGGCTCTGAGTAGGCCCGAGCGGCCCGCGGCCGGCCGACGCCGCATTTCTTCCCGGGCTCGTGAGCGGCCGCCGCTCTGGTGACTTTGCCACTACGGCCAAGCGCACTTAGGTGGTCGGCGCTGGCCACGGGATCGGCTGCCCTCTCCTTGAATGACCGGCGACCTCGGAAGTCACGCGGCCGAGGTGGGAAGCTGGCCGGGGCGTCTGGGTGGCGGCGGCCCCGGCGCCGGCGGCCCCG